AATGTCTAGGTATTCTATTGTTTTTTGTTGTTGTTGTTGTTGTTGTTGGTCGTTGGGCTTGAACTCTGGGCTTGGGCGCTGTCCCTGTGCTCTTCAGCTCAAGGTGAGCACTCTACCACTTGAGCCACAGAGTCACTTCCAGTTTTCTGGTGGTTTATTGGAGATGAGTCTCACCTACTTTCCTGCTCAGGCTGGCTTTGAACTGTGATCCTCAGATCTTAGCCTCCTGAGTAGCTAGGATTACAGGCGTGAGCCATCTGTGATTGGCTTATTCTATTGTTTTTGAATGGAATTCTTTTCCTGATTTCTTTCTCGGTGTGTTTTACTTTATTTTTTTGTCGGTCACAGGGTCTGAACTCTGGGCCTGGGCTCTGTCCCTCAGCTCTTCAGCTCAAGGCTAGAGCTCTACCACTTGAGTCACGGTGCCACTTCTGTCTTTTTCTGCTTATGTTGTGCTCAGGAATAGAACCCAGGGCCTCGTGCATGCAAGGCAAGCACTCTACCACTGAGCTACCTTCCCAGCTCCAGTGTGTTAGTTTTTGGTATGTAGCAAAACTACTGATTTTTGGGTCTTGGTTTCATATCCCCCTATCTTTTTGAAGGTGTTTATCAGCTCTAGAAATCTTTTGTTGTCATCTGGGATCTCTTAAGTATAGCATCTTACCATAAGCAAATAAGGATAATTTAACTTTGTCTTTCCTTAATTGGGTACTTTTTCCTGCTTAATTGCTCTGGCTAGGAATTCTCATACTATATCTAATAGAGTGAGTAGAGTTGACATCCTTGTTTTGTTTCTGACTTCAGGGGAAATGTTTTTAGTTTTTTCCCATTTAGTAAGATAATTGACTATCAATTTTTCATAGATAGCCTTTACTAAGTTCAGACACATTGCTTACATTTCTAGTTTCTTCAGTGCTTGTATTATAAAAGAATGTTGAATTTTGTCAAAGGCCTTTTCTGCATCAGTTGAGATGATCATGTGAGGTTTTTTTATACTGTTTTAGTGATGTATTATGTTTATTGATTTATACTTGTTAAACCATTTTTTTCTTTTTTTGGTCATGGGGCTTGAACTCTGGGCCTAGGCACTGTCCCTTAGCTCTTCAGCTCAAGGCGGCGCTCTACCACTTGAACCACAGTACCACTTGCAGTTTTCTGGTAGTTTATTAGAGATAAGAATCTCACGAACTTTTCCTGCCCAGGCTGGCTTTGAATTGTGATCCTCAGATCTCAGCCTCCTGAGTAGCTAGGATTACAGGCATGAGCCACCAGCACCCAGCTCATTAAACCATTCTTACACCCCTCTGATGAAACCTTGATCATGGTGTATAATCTTTTTAATGTGCTGTTGAATTCAGTTTGCAAGTATTTTTATTGAGAATTTTTACATAAATGTTCATCAACAAGATTGGTCCATAATTTTCTTTCTAATTTGGGAATGAACATAATGCTCATTTGTAGAATGAGTTTCTTCTATGAGTTTTCCTTCTCTTTCTATTTCATGGAAGAGTTTGAGGAGTATTGGTGTTGTGTTTTGAGGTTCTAATAGAATTCTGCAGTGAACCCTTCTGTCCCTATGCTTTGCTTCGCTTCTCTTCACTTTTCTTTCTTGTTGGTCATGGGGCTGGAACTCTGGGCTTGGGCGCCGTCCCTGCACTCTTCAGCTCAAGGTGAGCGTTCTTCTGCTTGAGCCACATTGCCGTTTCCAGTTTTCTAGTGGTTTATTGGAGATAAGAATTACACGGACTTTCCTGCCTGTGCTGGCTTTGAACCTTGAACCTCAGATCTCAGCCTCCTGAGAAGGATTGCAGGCATGAGCTGCCAGCCTGGCTATTATGAGATTCTTTAATTGCTTTTAGTCTTATTCTTTGTTAAAGGTCTGCTTAACTAGCTTATGTCTTCTTGGTTTAATTTTGGTCAGTTTCTAAAAATTTATTAATTTAATCTATATTTTCCCCTTAATTGAGTGTAGGTTTTCAAAGTATTTCTTCCTGGGCTGGGAAGGTGGCTCAGTGGTAGAGCGCTTGCCTTGCATGCCTGAGGCCCTGGGTTCGATTCCTCAGCACCACATAAGCAAAAAGAAAAAAAGCCAGAAGTGGCTCTCTGGCTCAAGTGGTAGAGTGCTAGCCTTGAGCTGAAGAGCTGAGGGACAGCGCCCAGGCCCAGAGTTCAGGCCCCACGACCGGACCCAAAAAAACCAAAAAAACAAAGTATTTCTTCCTGATCCTTTGGGTTTATTTGGTATTTGTTATAATATTCCCTTTCTCATCTCTAATTTTATTGGTTTGAGTCTTTTCTATACTCTTGGTCAAATTAGCTAGAAGTTTACCTAGATTTTATTTTTCCATAAGCTTATTAAGTTATGATATATTATATTTACTTGTAATTACTTAATCATTTCTTTATCTCATATGGACTCATGGTGAGATGTAATCCAATAATACTTCAGTTTTATTGTCAAATTTATTTTTTATTTTTATTTTTTGTTGTCTGAACTCTGGGCCTGGGTGCTGTCCCTCAGCTCTTCAGCTCAAAGCTAGTGCTCTACCCCTTGAGCCACAGCGCCATTTCTGGCCTTTTCTGCTTATGTGGTGCTGAGGAATTGAATCCAGGGCCTCATGCATGCGAAGCAAGCACTCTACCACTGAGCTACCTCCCAGTCCTGTCAAAATTATTATAGCTTTAGTCATTGGGAGCTCTTTTAGCTGGATCCTGTGTCTTTGATAAACTGTCATCAGTATGTGGATTTTTGTTAAACTTGTATGCTCATCGTATGTATTTTCTGCCTTAGTCCAAAAATTAGGCATTTTTACTTTTTTTTGTGTTCGGTCGTGGGGCCTGAACTCTGGGCCTGGGCGCTGTCCCTCAGCTCTTCGGCTCAAGGCTTGCACTCTACCACTTGAGCCACAACGCCACTTCCGGCTTTTTTCTTATGTGGTGCTGAGGAATCGAACCCAGTGCCTCGAGCTTGCAAGATAAGTGCTCTACCACTGAGCCACCTTCCCAGCCCCAAATTAGGCATTTTTAAAGAAGCTCTTCTTTTATTGTATTATGACATTAGGAACCAAATCTGAACACAAGATGTTCTTAATATTACAGTACTGGAATTTATGTGTATACGTTAACATGCATGTGTACTTATATAAATATAACTATATGACTACCTTATCTATGTTAAATTAAACAGAACTTTATACTAATGTCTCCATCTTTGAATCATTGTTACTTGACTTATTTTCTCTACATTCCCACTCCAACCGTGAGAAACCTAGTTCCCACCATCTACTACCCTTCTTTAATTATTCCATTTTTATATACTTTTATAGCAGCCTTAGAGTGTAATCTGATAGGTTGCTATGGGAAAGTTTATTCAGTTGGAGCAAAGTGTTTTATATTTTATATATAGTTTTTTTGTCGTTAGACTTAATATATGAATTTTCATTGTTACTTAGGTCAGCATCTTTATACCTTTGCTTTGTGTGTAGTTGTTTCATATATTTGTGATATTTACATCATAATCTGTATTCTATTCTGAGGTCCTCTGACTGCCAACATCACTGTAAAATTTGCATATATAATACTGTGCTGCAGTGTTCTGTGGACTTTGACAAGTGCATTCTTTTGCTTTCTATTGCTATAATAGATACCTAAGAGAAAAATCCATTATGGAAGGAAAGGATGAAAAGTTTCATTATGTCACAGTTTTAAAGGCTTCAGTCTAGGTCAATTGGCTCTGTTGCTTTGGCCTGTGGCAAAAGCACATTATGGCATAAGCATGTGACATAGCAAAACTTCTCCTCAAGGCTGCCATGCAAAAGAAGAGAAGAAGGGGATAATATACCAGTATCCTGGTATCCTATGAGACCATACCCTTAATGACTGGTTCTATTATTCCCCAGTAGCAGCATTGACTGGGGCCCAAACCTTTAGCATGTGTACTTATTGGAAACACATAAATCATATTATGCATTATGTCTTTGTGGTAACATTAGAATACCATATAGTTTCAGTTCCCTTCTCCCTAGTAATCATTATCCATTGACACTACATTTGTTTTTAGAAAGGCAAATGTTAGGGATGGAGATACAATTTATTTGTAGTGTATTTATCTAGCATTTGTAAGGCCCTGGATTTAATCCTCAGTACCCCTCTAGAAATCAAAACAAAATAAAACAAAAACTAGTATAGCTCCTTGTAGCAAATTCCTAACAAATGACTGCCTTGTTTGTTTCCATTACTGGTTCTGGAGGCAGTGATGGGGAAAAAGACCTTGTTTTTAAGGGGATGTAGGATCTTACTGGGAAAATAAGAAGAATATAAATGAAATCTGAAAGGATCGCCTAAAATCAAGTTCTAGAAAATAATTTGGAGGGGCTGAGAAGGTGGCTCAGTGGTAGAGTGCTTGCCTTGCATACATGAGGCCCTGGGTTCGATTCCTCAGCACCACATAAACAGAAAAAGCCAGAAATGGTGCTGTGGCTCCAGTGGTAGAGTGTTAGCCTGAGCTGAAGAGCTGAGGGACAGCACCCAGACCCAGAGTTCAGGCCCCATGACTGGCAATAATAATAATAATAATAATAATTTGGAGAAATAAAGAAGGGGACATTAAGGCTGTTGGTTAAGGAATATGTGACTTTTCACCAGATATTAAATGGAAATATTTAAGCTTTAGAGGGCCCAGTGCCTATGGAAGCAATGTGAATATAGTTTAGGAGGATGAAAGTATGGGTAGGGGAAAGAGGAATGTCTGAAGAAAATTGCATTAAGTAGTTTGAAAAAGCAAATATATTTGTAGGTATAAGGAAATTATGATATAAAATATACATAGATTTTTCAGAAATAAACTTTTTGCTGTTTCCCTGCCCCTCTACTAGTAACATTTACAATTTTAAAGAAAAGTCAACAATTAACAAGTTGTAAGTAAAATTTTAGGGTAAAAACTTGAGATATTTTCAGATTCCATTTTCTAATTTTTCTAATTCTTTCTTTTTTAAACCTAGATGAATTATCACCACCGTTTTCTGAACAACACAACAGGGAACAAATTTTAATTGGCTTGGAAAAATTTATTCAAAGAGAATATGATGGTATGTCATAGGTTAAAAACTGATTGCTTTTGTTGCTGTACATTGTCTTGCATTTTATCTTATTATTTTTTATTTTTTTGTTGATTGTGAGGCTTGAACTCTGGGCCTGGGCACTGTCACTTAGCTCGTTAGCTCAAAGCTAGCACTGTACCACTTGAGCCACAGTGCCACTTCTGATCTTCTGCTGGTTAATTGGATTTGAGTCTCATGGATTTTCCTGCCTGGGTTGGCTTTGAACCGCAATCCTCACATCTCAGCCTCCTTAATAGCTAGGATTACAGGTGTGAGCCACTGGTGCCTGCTGGTCTTTCATTTCATTTAGAAGTATTACTGAAAGCCAGGCATAGTAGCTCATGCCTATAATCCTACCTACTTAAAAGGCTAAGATCTGAGGATTACAGTTTGAAGCCTGATCAGGCAATATAAAGTCCTTGGAACTTTAATCCCCAGGTAACTACCAAAAAGCCAGAAGTGGACCCGTGGCTCAGGTAGTAAGTAGAGTGCTAGCCTTGAACAAAAACGCTCAGGGACAGTGCCCAGGCCCTAAGTTCAGGCTCTACTTCTGGCACCAAAGTAAAAAAAGTTGCAGAGCACCCAATGGCTCATGCCTGTAATACTAGCTATTCAGGAGGCTGAGATCTGTGGATCACAGTTTAAAGCCAATCATGGCAGGAAAGTTTGGGAGTAGAGCTGTGGCTCAAGTGGTAGAGCTACAGCCTTGAGCAAAATAAAACAGGGACAATGCTCAAGCCCTGAGGTCAAGCTCCAGGACTAGCACACAAAAAAACAATATTTATTGAATGTTATTAGATACTACTTTTGTTTTGGGAAGATATTGCTAACAAAAGAGGTGAAGCCTGCTTTCATGAATTGTATATTTCAGAGAAGAGGCAGTGATATAAAGAGTGAATATATAGTTTATCAGCAAATATAGTTATTAATATGTAGGAAATGTGATATTTTCTGTTAAGTTTCTCTGATAACTAGGATTTTAAATAATGTGAAGGTACAAGTTATACAAATCTCTTAAGGAGAGAACATTGTTGAGAGAAAGGGACTAAGTATAGACACCGAGTAGATTTGGTTTGGCATTTGAAAACAAGTTAGAAGGAACAGTGAGGTTGAAGTATAGATTATGTGGGTTAGAGTGTAATAGAAACATGAGATCTCTTTGAAAGGGTTATATCATTAAAATATTATGAATGTTGATAGAAGAAGTTTTAAGTGCCCAATGAGAAGATTTTGAAGAGTTTAAGCCATTAGGTGACATGATTTGAGAGAACAGATGGTATAGTCATAACTATAGAAACAAACATTATGAGGCTTTTGTACAAGTCCAGGTAAGCCATAGTAGTGCTTTGGAAGAGATGACAAGTGATGAGAATTAGGATATATTTGAAGGAATAGCCAGTGAATTTTGTCATGTGAAATCTGAAAGGAAGAAATCCAAGGATGATCTTAAGGCTTTTGCTTTAGTAGTTGATGTTGGCAAAAATAGAGCCAGGACCAGCAGATTTTCACCATGAAGGTGAAATCTTGATTGAGAATCCTGTGGCTAAATATTTTAGAAAAGCATAACAATTCATAATCATAATAGTGTTTTACTTTTTAAAATCTTAGGTACTGTAAGATTCTATTTTTAAATTATTTTTTTCATTTGTCTTTGAAATTTGAAGTAGAGCATCAGAAGTAGATGCAGGGATTATTTTGACAGAATTTATCTAAATGTGCAGTCAATTTATGAATTAAAGGGAAGGAAAATCCACTTCTATTGCAGCTTGTTTGGAGAAGTAGCTATTATTGAAGAATTCTGAATGTGAGGGAATCTATAGAGATTTATATAAGCCACTTTTGGAAGAAAATTAATAATTGGTGGTAGTTATAAAATTACTTGCATTGTACCTTTGAGGAATTAGTTTATTTTTAATAAGTAAATTTTCAAGTTTTGCCTTTATAAATATTAGTATTTATATTAAGGATGAACAAGATAGGTGGATCTGTAATTAAGTTGGAAAAAGCTAAAGGTCTCTGTTTAGAAGTGGAGATTGATAGGTGTTAAGATCTCACATATATTTCTGATGCGGGCAACAAAATAAAAAATGAGGTTATTTGCTCAGAATAGCAATTTTAGAAATTATAATAGATTTAGGGTGAAGGGCATGTTGAATATATGATAGCTGGAAAAATGGAAAAGTAGTTGAGTACATGAATGTGGGAACTTGTAAGCATCTGGGCTTGAGATGGATTTTTGGAATTTTGCAGTGGTAGATAATTTAAGGCTTTGAAGTGGATAAGATTACTGTTAAGCCACTAATAGATATTAGAAGACTCCTTCCATGTTTAATTATGACTTTTGTTTCCCTTTGCTTAGAAAAGGCAAGACTGTGCTTATTTGGCTCTTCAAAGAATGGATTTGGATTTCGTGATAGTGATCTTGATATTTGTATGACCTTGGAAGGCCATGAAAATGCAGAGGTAAGAGTTTTTGTTTGGAATGGATATGGAAGTTTAGTCTCTTCTAATGATGAATCTAACTTTATTTTTGCATATAATATTGATAAAAATACATGGTATCATTTTTTATATATTATGTATAAATATATTGGCAACAGCAATGTTTGAAATATGAAAACATCTATTTTGAAGGCATTCAGATTGTTTAGTAAATGTTTTGTTCATCATTTTATAATATAAAAGTAAGGTCACTGAGGGTGTATTGTAATGAAGTTTGGAAATGGTTTTAATTTCAATTTATGATTGATATTCCATAAAGTTGGACTTTTTTCCTTAGGGCAGTGAGGAAAGCTGGTGTTTCAATTCAGTAGTGAATGTTGATCTTGCTTATTCTGTCTTTGCTATCTCTTTCATTAGGAGCTGTCTTTGTATCACTATAGCTAGGGAATATCTAATAGTAATCTAATTTATAAATGGGTCATTCTAAAACTTAATTATAATTTTGAGGCACTTGCCTTTTGTTCCCATAGAAACAATATTATAAATGAATGAGTTTTAGGAACTCATTTTGGGTGGGAATGGGAACTAACATTTATTGAGTCCCCAGCATACACTTATACATACATTATCTCATTTTATTCCTGCACCCACCTTTGAGGTAGGTATTATTTCCCCCATTTTACAGATGAGGAAACAGGCTTTGAGAGATAACTGACTTGCCCAAGTTCACACAGCTAGTAAGTGTTGGAGCCGGGATTCGTACCCAGGTCTGTCTGACTCCAGAGTTCATGCTCTTTGCACTGTATCTCACTGCCTCTTTGTAATTTTTTAACCCATAATGTAGCTGAAATATAGTACTAATAGTAATGTAGAACCTAACCACTACTTTGTGAAATTTAAAGCTTTCTGAGTTCCACCTTGAGATGCCAGGAGCAGACCTTCCCCCAGTGCAGTCTTGGCAGTGAAGTGGGTATGCTTTTCCTTCTTTATCTTCCAGGATTCAGTCGTGGGAATGAGATTGTCTAAGCTTTCAAGAAAGAAAAAGACTGATTGGTCAGGGAAGAAATGTCCCAAAGAAAAAGACTGATTGGTCAGGGAAGAAATGTCCCAGTCCTTTGTAGCAGTAATTAGAAAAGGAGGGGATCCTTGTAGGTGCTCTTTACCAGCATAGATGTTGATATTTATGTTTCAAAACCAGATTGATTGCAAGATTGGGGTGAGGCCAAGCTTCTGGCATCTGTAGTGGTGTCAGCATAGCCTTTGTTATGTTATAAAAGAATTCAGCACAATAGTATACCTGTGCATTTCTGAAGTCCTTTCCACAGGTGATTTTGAATTAGTTAGACCTGGAGTAAAGATGGCAGTGATGAGTTCTCACTTGTTTGTTTGTTCTCTTAACTAACTTGTTATTGCCACTTATGTAGAAGAGGCTGCCGTTTTCCATTTTGAAGAGCAAGAATTGAGAGAAAAAGAAATGACTTTTATCCAGGGAGGAAAGACTTTTAGATGCCTTCTATGTAAACTTTAGTAATCAGACTTGTAATTACTAAGAGTTTAGATATTATATGTAGCCTGCTGTTCACATTAGGAACTTGAAATAATGAAAAAGAATAAAATATATTCTAGATGAACCTTATTGAAACTTTAAAATTTTTATTAAATTGTATCTTTTGCATTGTAAGAAGAAATATGACCATCTTTGTTTATTTTGTTCTGTGTGTCATTTAGTAACTAATGATTCCCTTGAAATCCCCAGGTTAAGCTACAATGACTGTATTGGGGATACACAAAAGTAATCTTACAATTGTTGGGATTGCTCTTGATAGCTTTCAGCTTAACACAGTTGATTTAAAATGTCATCCTCTTCTGTGTTCCTTGTCTTTTGATGATTATTACCATACCAACTCTTGTCTCTGTTTTTATTTTTATTTTTTAATAACACTTACATTTGCAGAGGTAAGAATTTCCTTGAGGAAATAGGTACTGGTAATAATAGGAGTATCTTCCCTTGTCTCACCAACTGGCAGATTTCAAGTTCTTACTTTATGCCAGGCTTGTTGCTGAATGCTTTATATTATGTCAAGTGTAATCCTTCCAACAACTTTTCAGGGCAAGAATTTATGATTATTTGGATTTTATAGAGTAGGGTGTGCTGTGAAGGAGAGTAATTAGAGCCTAGGCTCTTAATCAAGATACTGTTTTGCATTCATCAGACCTTATATTTACCTTTGTTTCTCAAACATACATCTACATGTGAAATACTGTGTGACCTTTTTAAAATGTTTATGATTAGATTTGGTAGAGGTCTGAAATTTTTTATTTCTACCAAGTTCCCAATAATACTGAGGCTATGTATTTATAAACCACATACTTCAAACAGCAAGGTGATAGAGAATATGATGGCTGGAAAATTTAAATAATAGTATTAAATGCCTAGATTAAAGTAGAATTTGCATAAGGCCAAATTGAGTGAAATTTTAATTTACTTGTTTTATTTATTTTTTGTTTTTTAGAAATTAAATTGTAAAGAAATAATTGAAAATTTGGCGAAAATTCTTAAGAGACATCCAGGTATACATTTTAAATCTAGCTTTAAAACAAAAAATTCTCTTTAGCATTATGAAAATTATGTAACTTTTTTTTTTTAATCAGGTTTAAGGAACATTTTGCCTATAACTACTGCCAAAGTGCCTATAGTAAAATTTGAACACAGACGAAGTGGGCTAGAAGGTGATATCAGTTTATATAATACATTGGTAAGTTTTTATAGGCCAAGCATAATTATACTTTTCATTAAAAAAAGTTGTGTAGATGATGAGTTATACTTGTATGCTTAATATTTTCATGTATGAGCAGTATAAGGAACACATATTTTGTTATATATTGCAATCAGATTAAGTAAACTTTTTGACTTGTTAATAGGTACTTAAAATTTACATTTGTATGTATTCTAATTAGACTATATTGTATCTTTTTATATAATTTGTAAGCTTATGAAATGTTAAAAAATTTGTAATTATTTTTCAGGCTCAACATAACACCAGAATGTTAGCTACTTATGCAGCTATTGATCCTAGAGTGCAGTACTTGGGATATACTATGAAAGTGTTTGCTAAGGTATTTATGAAAATGTTAATGATCTGCTTAGTTGTAATAATCTTTTTCCTCTCCCTACTCCTCCCTTCTCTCCTTTCTTCTTCCTTCTTCTTGTATATCAGTACTGGCATTTGAACTCCGGGCCTGAGCACTATTCCTGAGCTTTTTTGCTCAAGGCTAGTGCTCTGTAACTTGAGCCACAGCTCCATTTCTGGCTTTTTGGTGATTAATTGGGGATAGGAGTCTCATGAACTTTCCTGCCTAGGCTACCTTCAAACCGCAGTCCTTAAATCTCAGCATCCTGAGTATCCTCAGGATACTAGCTAGGATTACAGACTTGAGTCACCAGTGCTTGGTATACTTTTTGGGTAGAGAGCAGGAGGGCCGGGAATATCCAGCATATTTAACTTGTACAGAATCCAAAAGCCCTAAAGGAGCCAGGTGTCAAGTGCCTCATGCCTATAATTCTAGCTATTCTGGAGGCAGAGATTGTAAGAATTTCACTTCAAAGCCAGAGCAAAATACTTATGAGCAGAATCCCAATCCGTAGTTGTGATTATCTATGTAACTGTTATTTCAGGTACATAGGAGGCTGAGATCAGAAGGATCATAGTTCCAGGCCAGCTTCAGCTACAAAACTTTGTTACAGCCGGGCGCTGGTGGCTCACGCCTGTAATCCTAGCTGCTCAGGAGGCTGAGATCTGAGGATCGCGGTTCAAAGCCAGCCTGGGCAGGAGAGACCGTGAGACTCCTATCTCCAATAAGCCACCAGAAAACTGGAAGTGGCACTGTAGCTCAAGTGGTAGAGTGCTCGCCTTGAGCTGAGGGACAGTGCCCAGGCCCAGAGTTCAAGCCCCACGACCGACAAAAAAAAAAAAAAAAAAAAAAAACCTTTGTTACAACCCCTTTCTCAACATTAAAAAAAACCCTGAGTTTGAGGTCTTGTGACTGTCATCCTGCCTACTGCAGAAAGCATAAGTAGGAGGATTACAGTGTGGTCTGGATTACACAGTGAGACCTTGTCTCAAAAGTAACCAGAGGAAGAGTTGGAGGAATGACTCAAGCAGTAGAACAGTTGCATTGCAAAGTGCAAAGCCCTACATTCAAACCCAAGTGTCAACAAAAATTTAAAGGAAGCAAAAGATCCAAAGGGATTTGTAGTAGATAGGAAATCTCCTTTATTTACTTATTACCTAGCTTACTATGCTGGAAGCAACCCGTGTTACATTTTATTTTTTATTTTTATTTTTATTTTTTTTTGTCGGTCATGGGGCTTGAACTCTGGGCCTGGGTGCTGTCCCTCAGCTCTTCAGCTCAAGGCGAGCGCTCTACCACTTAAGCTACAGCGCCACTTCCGGTTTTCTGGTGGTTTATTGGAGATAGGAGTCTCACAGTCTCTCCTGCCTGGGCTGGCTTTGAACCGCGATCCTCAGATCTCAGCCTCCTGAGTAGCTAGGATTACAGGCGTGAGCCACCAGCGCCCGGCTCCGTGTAACATTTTAGACATGTATTACATTAGTATAGCAAACACACAAATTTCCTATCTCCTTGTTACTACAAGCATAAATACTTTGAAATACAATGGAGACAATAAGTACATAGGTCTATATTTTATTTTTTTTAACTTAGCAATAGATTTAGAAATTATTTCATATCAGGCTACTAAGAATTACTTGTTTTTTTTTTGAATAGGTACATACTATTCCTTTGTATAGATAATTCTCAGGGTTTTTTGTTGTTGTTGTTGTTGTTTTTTGCTTGATCTTGAGGCTTGAACTCTGGGCTTGGGCACTGTCCCTGTGTTCTTCAGCTCAAGGCTAGCGCTCTACCACTTGAGCCACAGCGTCACTTCCGGTTTTCTAGTGATTTATTGGAGGTAAGAGTCTCACGGACTTTCCTGTCTGGGCTGGCTTTGAACCACGATCCTCAGATCTCAGCCTCCTGAGTAGCTAGGATTATAGGCATGAGCCACCGGCATCCAGCAATTCTCAGTATTTTTAACTTATGCTTTATTAATGAGCCTAAAATTATTTCTGATTTTTCTGCTACTAAAACAATACTACAAGCTGGGTGTGAGTGCCACATACCTGTAGTTCTTGCTACTCAAGGAGTGGAGATCTGAGGATCATGGTTCAAAGCCAGCCCATCAGGAAAATATGTGAGGCTTTCAACTCCAATAAACTACCAAAAAGCTGGAAATGGAGTAGTGGCTCAAGTGGTAGAATAGAGGGCTATCTTTGAGTTAAAAACAAGAAAACAAAAACAAAAAAGAACAGGGACAACGCCCAGGCCGTCCGGAGTGCAAGCCCCAGGATCAGCACACAAAAACAACAAAAATACTAGTACAATAAAAGAAATTCTCTTTTTAAAAAAATTTTTCTTTATTTTTTATTGAGAAAATACTGTACAGTGGGGTTACACTTACATGGGCAAGATAATGAGTACATTTCTTATAAGCATTGTAGCCTCCTCCTTTGTTTCCCCTTCCAATCCCTTCCCATCCTCCCCTCACCCCCCACCCAATCCTCCCTGTCCTCCCCCCCCCCCCCCCACCAAAGTTGTAAAGTTCGTTTTCGACATAACGACTTGTACTTCTCTTTGTTGCAACAGGTCCACCTGTATCCTTATTTAAATGACTTGTTTGAAATTCTCTTTTTTTCTTTTTTGTTCAGTCCTGAGGCTTGAACTTAGGGTCTAGGCGCTGACCTTGAGCTTTTTCTTTGCTCAAGCTAGCACTGTACTACTTTGAGCCACAGTACACTTCTGGTTTTGTAGTGGTTAATTGGAGATAAGAGTCTCTTGGACTTTTCTGCATGGCTGGCTTTGAACCATAGTCCTCAGATCTCAGTCTCCTGAGTAGGCAGGATGGATTACAAGTGTGAGCCAATAGTACCTGGCAAAGAAACTTCATATTCAGCCATTTCATACATATTTGGAAGACATTTTTGCAAGATAAATTCTTAAGAGTTTCTAGGCCAAAGGAGATTTGTTTTCAGTTTTTGAAATTGTAAAGCTATTTTTCATAGAGCTTGTACCAATTAATATGCTTGCCCATAAGGTGTAAGATTACCTTCTTTCTCAGAGTCTTTATTGAACTTGGGGATACATATCAGTTCAGTGAATTACAGAAGTGTTGTCTTAGAGTAGTCAGTACTGTTTGAAATGAGATTCTGAAATTTTATTTTCATCACATATTTTTTTTAGCGATGTGACATTGGAGATGCTTCCAGGGGAAGTTTATCTTCATATGCATATATCCTTATGGTGCTGTACTTTCTGCAGCAGAGAAAACCACCTGTTATCCCAGTTCTACAAGAGGTAAGTGTGGAAGAAAAATATAAATGCTCTGGGTGTGTGTGTGTGTGTGAGAGAGAGAGAGAGAGAAAGAGAGAGAGAGAAAGGGAGAAAGAACAGTGGATTTGAAGATCTTGCTTCAGAAGGTTTTTTTAACCAGTCCTGGGGCTTGAGCTCAGGGTTCTGGACATTGTTTCTGAGCTGCTTTCTGCTCAAAGCTATCACTCTGCTACTTGAGCCACAGTGCTACTTCCAGCCTTTTCTGTTTATGTGGTACTGAGGAATCCAATCCAGGGCTTCATGCATAGTAGGCAAGCACTCTACCTTATTTTTTTTTTTTTTTTGTCGGTTGGTCACAGGGCTTGAACTCTGGGCCTGGGCACTGTCCCTTAGCTCTTCAGCTCAAGGTGAGCACTATACCACTTGAGCCACAGCACCACTTCCAGTCTTCTGGTGATTAATTGGAGATAAAGAGTCTCACTGATTTTCCTACCTAGTCTGGCTTTGAACTGTGATCCTCAGATCTCAGCCTCCTGAGTATCTAGGATTACAGGAATGAGCCACTGGCGCCCGGCTCCTAGAAGGGTTTTTTTTTTTTCTTCTAAATCATGAGTGTCCTCAGTTTTCTCTTTCTGTTAATGTTAAAATTAACCAATGAACCTCTTTGAAAAATTTATCTTGGAGAATATAGACTACTAAGAGAATATGAGCTGAATAGAACCATTGCATATCTTTTAACATTTAAAAATTTTGGAGACCTAGAATGCATGAAGGTTGTTTTTTGTTGTTGTTGTTGGTGGTGGTGGTCATGGGGCTTGAATTCTGGGCTTGGATACTGTCCCTTAGCTCTTCAGCTTAAGGCGAGCGCTCTATCATTTGAGGAGCCACAGCACCACTTCTGGTTTTCTGGTGGTTAAGCACTAGCCTTGAGCAAAAGAAACTCAGAGACAGTGTCCAGACCCAGAGTTCAGGCTTCAGGATCGAGGAAAAACATAAACGTTATTTCCTACCAGAAAAATCTGTAGCTAAATTAGTATTGGATGATATGTATATATGTTTATGTGTAGTCTATTTTTTAGGGTAGTTTTACGATCACAGCAAATTTGAGGAGCACATACAGAGATTTCTCATATTGTCCTTTTCTCCCTCTACCCTGTACAACTTGGCCCATTTTCAATCCCACAGAGTATTACATTGTTAACAGTTGATGAACCTGCATTAATACATATGATCAGCTGAAGTCCATAGTTTAAATTGGGGTTCACTTAGGGTTATTTGTGGCACACACTTATAATTCCACCTTCAGGAAGTTGAGGTCTAAGGATTGTGGTTGAAAGCCACCACAGGCAGGAAATGTCTGTGAGACTCTTATCAATAACTACCAAAAAGCCAAAAGTAGCTCTGTAGCTCCAAAGATAAGACCATCAGCCTTGAGCAAAAGTAGCAGAGTGAAAAAGCTCAGGGACAGTGCCTAGCCCCTGAGTTTAAGCCCCAGTGCCAGCACATACATCCACAATTAGTGATTCACTCTTTATTTTGGTGTCTATAATGGAGGCAGGGGGTTGAACTCAGGGCCTCTAAGTCTCTCTTGGCTTTTGCCCAAGTGGAATTGTACCATAATCCTTCTACCATAGCCTCTTGCATACCTGTGATTATAGGACTGTGTTACCAGCTTGGCTTGTTTTTTTTGAGATCGGTTTTGACTAACTTCTTTCCAGGCTAGCTTCAAATCATAATCCTAGTCTTGATGTCTTGAGTAACTGAAATTACAGGTGTGAGTCACTGTGTCTGATCCAGAGTAACTTGTTATACAAATATGGTTGTCTTACTTGGTAAGTGATAGAATTAATGCTCACTGATGATAGAAAGTAAGGGTGAGAGAATGCTTGTTTGAGAGATAGGGCTGGGAAGGTAGCTCAGTGGGAGAGTGCTTGCCTTGCATGCATGAGACCCTGGGTTCGATTCCTCAGCACTACGTAAGCAGAAAAAGCTGGAAGTGGCTCTATGGCTCAAGTGGTAGAGCACTAGCCTTGAGCTGAAGAGCTGAGGCCCAGAGTTCGGGCCCTACGACCAACAACAACGAAAAAAGAGACAGAGAGAAGATAGTATTAGTACTTCTGAGGGCTGATATACAGTGTAGAATTTGGCCCAGCAAAACTAGATCATTTAGCCAGCACCAATGGCTCATGCCTATAATCCTAGCTACTCAGGAGGCTGAGATCTGAGGGTAATGGTTGAAAGCCAGCCCAGGCAGGAAAGTCCATGAGACTCTAATAACCCGGAAGTGGCACTGTGGCTTAAGTGGTATAGCGCTCACCTTGAGCTGAAGAGCTGAGGGACAGCACCCAGGCCCAGAGTTCAAGCCCCACGACCAACTAAAAAAAGAGGAAAAAACCAACTAGATCATTCAAAAGCACTGGCAAAATATGTGTGAATAGTGTCCAGTCTGCTACTTGCAACGTTGTTGTGTTTAGTAGTTACTCAGAAGAATTCTCCAATACAATCAGAGTCTGAAGAAGTAACCTGTATTTTAATATCTGGCAAATCCGTTTTATGGAGCATGGAATATTACAATGTTAAAGGGATAATACTGAATTTTAACCTCTTTAAAACCTTTACTTTTTTTTTTTTTTCTGGTCCTCATGCTTGAACTCCAGGCCAGGGCATTCATTGTCCCTGAGCTTTTTCCATCAAGGTTAGTGTTCTACCACTTGAGCCACACCTTCACTTAGAGCTTGTTCAGTAGTTTATTGGAGATGATAAACTTGCAGATTTTGCTGCTTCATTTGGCTTCAAACTAAGATTTGTCTGATTGCGGCCTTCTTAGTAGCTAGGATTACAGATGTGAGCCACCACTGCCTGGCAAACTTTCACTTATTTTTTGAATGCAAGATCCCATGTCTTCTGCTTTAGTCCCATCTGTAACTGTCAGGCTCTTGCTTTTATTATATTTTCACGAAACACCAGAAATTAAGGTAAATGATTTTTGGCAACTTAAGAATTACTTACATCTTGATGTTTATATAACATACATAATAAATATATTTGTTCAAATTTCTTGAACAAATTTATTTAGGAAGCTTTGGTTTAGTAAGGTTTTGTGCTCAAGGCAAATTATAGTCCTTGACCATAAGGAACTTGAACCTAAGAATGAAATTGTACAGAGTAGATATGTCAGTAATTTTGTCTCAAAATTACTTGGGAGGTTACTTGTGGCTATGTGTTCATCTGATTGGATTTCTTTTTTGTTCTTGTGAAATAGCACGTCTTTCCTTATTTTACTAATACAGTGAATTGGGGCTGGGAAGGTGGCTTAGTGGTAGAGTGCATGCCTTGCATGCCAGAGGCCCTGGGTTTGATTCCTCAGCACCACATAAGCAAAAAGAAAAAAGCCGGAAGTGGCACTATGGCTCAAGTGGTAGAGCGCTAGCCTTGAGCTGAAGAGCTGAGGGACAGCGCCCAGGCCCAGAGTTCAGGCCCCATGACCGGACCCAAAAAAACAAACTAGTAGTACAGTGAATTGTAATTCATAATTTATATGAAACATTTATAATTTTTATGAAGAGCTCAGTATAAGCTACCTAATTTTGTTTTACACAAAAGTGGTGCCCAAAGGTTTTTTTCCCTTACATGATATAGATAACTGATTAAAGGTACTTGGTCTTGACACAACTGGAACATTGATTCTCTTTGGTTGTCTAATATAATTAATCAGTTTTTATTAACTATATATTTCTATAACATTTTTTTTTTTTTTTTGTCAGTCCTGGGGCTTGCACTTAGGGCCTGTGTGCTGTCCCTGCGCTTTTGCACTCAGGGCTAGCCCTCTATCACTTTAGCCACAGTGTTACTTGAGTAATTGGAAATAAGAGTCTCACAGACTTTCCTGCCTGTGCTGGCTTTGAACCGTGACCCTCAGATCTTAGCCTCCTGAGTAGCTAGGATTACGGGCATGAGCCACTGTCCCCTGACAACTAGAATTCTTTAGTGCAACTGACTTTTTTGGTTTACTTTCATTAAACTTGGGTTAGGCTAAATAGATAACAATAACATCAAATGTGTCATTTGCAGTCTGATGCTCTCTAAGATAGCCTTTCTTAGCTTTGGTTTTACAGATGTATTTTATTAATTACTAGGTGTCAAGTTTTATCACCTAAGCTTATTCCCTTTTGGAAGGAGTATTTCAGTATGTTTTCTGTAGATAAACTCTAAAATGATGTGAAGGTTTGTAGGCCTTTGGTTTTTTTTTTTTTTTTTTTTTTTTTTTTGTCGGTCGTGGGGCTTGAACTCTGGGCCTGGGCGTTGTCCCTCAGCTCTTCAGCTCAAGGCGAGCGCTCTACCACTTGAGCTACAGCGCCACTTCCGGTTTTCTGGTGGTTTATTGGAGATAGGAGTCTCACGGTCTTTCCTGCCCTGGCTGGCTTTGAACCGCAATCCTCAGATCTCAGCCTCCTGAGTAGCTAGGATTACAGCCGTGAGCCACCAGCGCCCGGCTTGCCTTTGGGTAGAATAACTTGGTATCTAATAATAAAATTAAATGTTTTAATACAGATCTTTGATGGGAAACAGATTCCACAGAGAATGGTTGATGGATGGAATGCTTTTTTCTTTGACAAAACAGAAGAACTGGTAAGGTTTACATAGTTCTTATGTCACAGAATGCTTATTGATGCTTGTTAGGGTTAGTATAGTTTAATCATTTTACTTTGACTTGTGGAATATGTTTTATTTATTTATTTTTATTTTTGGGTCTGGTCATGGGGCCTGAACTCTGGGCCTGGGTGCTGTCCCTCAGCTCTTCAGCTCAAGGCTAGCACTCTACCACTTGAGCTACAGCACCACTTTTGGCTTTTTTCTTTTTGCTTATGTGGTGCTGAGGAATCGAACCCAGGGCCTCATGCATGCAAGGCAAGCGCTCTACCACTGAGCCACCTTCCCTGCCCTGGAATATGTTTTAGATAATATATCTCTCCTTTCCCCTTATTTCCTTCCCCTTTATTCTCCTCCATTATCTTCCTCTTCTCTTCCTTCTTTACCTGAAGAAAAAGCGTTTGCCATCACTTGGAAAGAATACAGAGTCATTAGGAGAGCTTTGGTTGGGACTGCTTCGCTTCTATACTGAAGAGTTTGATTTTAAGGAATATGTAATTAGCATTCGACAAAAAAAGCTGTTGACAACTTTTGAAAAACAGTGGACATCTAAATGCATTGCGATTGAAGGTAATTTTTTATGCCATTTTTTTTTCCTTTGGTTGGATGTGGGGCTTAAACTCAGGGCCTGGGCACTATCCCTGAGCTTTTTTGCTCCAGGCTAGAACTCTACCACTTTGAGCCACAGTGCCATTTCTGGTATTCTGGTGACTAATTGGAGATGAAAGTATCACTTTTCTGCTCAGGCTGGCTTCGAACTGTGATCCACAGATCTCAGCCTCCTGAGTAGCTAGGATTGCAGGCATGAGCCACTGGTGCCCAGCTTATGCCATTCTTATTTTAAAAACAAAAATTTGGCTAAGAAATGGAAGAGGAAAATGAGCAATATTAGAATTTCAAAGATTCTTCGCTTTGATTTTTATGATCCCTTCCCTTAATATCCAACAACTGAATGACTTGATGACTGAGAATAAGTAATACTAGAGTGGTTCTGGCTATCTACATTTGATGATGGTACAATGAATATAATTCCTAATTTTAAACTATGCTTTTCTAGATCCCTTTGACTTGAATCACAATCTTGGTGCTGGAGTTTCTAGAAAAAGTAAGTTTTAAATAGAGATTACCTTCTTTAAATGTTCTTTAGACATTAATGTTCTCATCTTTATTGCTGTCTTCTTTCTTCAATAGTGACCAATTTTATTATGAAGGCATTTATCAATGGAAGAAAACTTTTTGGTACCCCATTTTATCCACTCATTGGCAGAGAAGCTGTAAGTTACATTATTTCAATTTTTAATCTTTTCTCATGGAAATTTTTTGTTTAATTTTGGTTTTATTTACCCAGGAAGAAAAAGGGAAATCAGTAATACATAAATATGATATAATAAACATTTCAGAATTACTAGATATATGATTATTTAACAACTAATTTTAAGACATAATTAATTTTAGAGTAGAATACTTTAAAATTAAGATCATTAAGGCTAACTCTATATGTTTTAGTCTTGTGTGTAGTTTTTTGTTATCAGAATATTATTCCTTCCTTCCTCTCCCCATCATGTGTCTCACCTCCCATATATATTCTATTCTCTCTCTCCTCTACCTTTCTCTATCTCTCTTTTTTTTCTCTCCGCTCTTCTCCCTTCCTTTCTTTGTGCTGGTCCTGGGACTTGAACTCAGGTCTTGGGCACTGTCCCTGAGCTTCAAGGCTAGTACTCTGCCAACTGAGCTGTAGTTTCACTCCAGCTTTTTGCTTGTTAATTGCAGATAAGAGTCGCTCAGACTTTCCTGCTCTGGCTGTCTTTGAATCATGATCCTCAGATCTGAGACTCCTGAGTAACTAGGATTGTAGATGTGAGCCACTGGCACCTGGCTAATATATAGTCTAAAACTGGTTGTCTTGGTACATGCCTTTAATCTCAGCACTAGAAGACTAATGGGGGAGAAATGTGAGTTTGAGGCCAGCCTTGACTGCATAGTAAAACTCTCTCCAAAAAAGCCAAACCAAATGAACAAGAATTTTATATCACCACCACCAACAACAAATATAGTCTTCTGGTTTTTTTTTTTGTTTGTTGTTTTATCAGTCACGGGGCTTGAACTCTGGGCTTAGGTACTGTCCCTGAGCTCTTCAGCTCAAGGCGAGCACTCTACCACTTGAACCACCACAACACCACTTCCCTTGTTTTTTGTCCTTTGTGGGGCTTGAACTCAGTGCCTGGGCTCTGTGCCTGGGCTGTGTCCCAAGCCTTTTTTGTGCTCAGGGTAATGTTTTACCACTTGAGTCACAGCACCACTACTGGTTTTTGAGTGATTAATTTGAGTCTCATGGGGACTTTATTGCCCAGGCTGGCTTTGAACTGTGATCCTTAGCTCTCAGCATCCTGAATAGCTAGGCTTACAGGCATAAACCACTGGTGACCAGCTGAGTCTGCTGGTTTTTTTTTTTGTTTGTTTGTTTTGTTTGGGTCCGGTCGTGGGCCCTCAACTCTGGGCCTGGGCGCTATCCCTCAGCTCTTCAGCTCAAGACTAGCGCTCTACCACTTGAGCCACAGCGCCACTTCCAGCTTTTTTCTTTTTGCTTATGTGGTGCTGAGGAATCGAACCCAGGGCCTCAGACATTCAAGGCAAGCGCTCTACCACTGAGCCACCTTCCCAGCCCATCTGCTGTTGTTTTAAGCATACTACTTTCAAAGATCATGCTATAGCATGTATCGATATTCTTTTTATGGTTGAATAATACTGCACAGGGAATTCATTTTATTTACCCTTTCATCAGCTTCATGCATAAACATTCGGTTTATTCTACTTGATAGCTATTATGAGCAATGCTGTTGTGAATGTTTACATGTATAATTGTGTGTGTGAATGTAAAGTTGGGCTCACTGGCCCCACAGAGGTTTATCTAAGACATATGATCCTTCTCCTGCCTCAGCCTCCTAAGTGTTGAATAAAGGCATGCGCCACCATATTTGCATTTTCCTTGGTATATACCAAATAATGAGGAACTACTAAAATATTTTCTAACTACTTGTGTTATGGTTTTAGGTTTTGCATAACATACCAGTGCCTTTTATTATTTTTATATTATTATAGCCATTCTATTTAATTTTTTCTCCACCTGTACTGGGGATTTAACCCAGGACTTTGTGTATGCTAGGCAAGCACTCTACCACTTGAATCATGCCACTGCTCCCTCTTTTACTATGATTCCAATTTTTTTTTTTTTGATCATGGTTTGAACTCAGGACCTGGGCACTGTCCCTGAGCTCTTTAACTTAAAGCTATCATTCTACTACCTTGAGCACAGCTCCATTTCCAGTTTTCTAGAGGTTAGCTGGAGATATGAGTCTTATGGACTTTCCTGCCCCGGCTGGCTTTGAACTGCGATCCTCAAATTTCAGCCTCTTATTAGGATTATAGATGTGAGCCCCTGGTACATGGCTTGATTCTAGATATTATAAAAACTTGTAGACAGTTAACTGAACATGTATTCTTGCCTTCTAGAAATATGGAGACTATTAGGACCAACTGTGGTTTTTTGTTTGTTTGATTTTGTTTTTGTTTTGGCCAGGCTTGGGCTTGAACTCCGGGCCTGGGCGCTGTCTCTGAATGTCCTTTTTGTTCAAGCTAGCACTCTGCCATGGAAGCCACAGCGCCACTTGTGGCTTTTTGTGTTTATGTGGTACTTAGGAATTGAGCCTGGGCTTCATGCAAGCACTCTACCATTAACTCACATCCCCAGCCCACCATGTATGTTTCTAACAGTGCAGAAGTGAACACAAGAAGGATAAGCAAGGTGCTATGATAAAAAGACAAGTGAGCCTGGTTTAAGACTTGGGAAAAGTATTCACTACAAGATTTCCTACCTTCTCCATCCTTAAATGTACTCACTTTAAACAAATGGTTCTTTAAAAGCAGTTTGCAAGTTGAATCTTTTATTTATTTATTTTTGTCTGTCATGGGGTTTGAACTCAGGGCCCTGGCACTGTCCCTGAGTTTTTTTTGCTGAAGGCTAGCCTCTAGCACTTTGAGCTACAGCGCCATTTCCAGTTTTCTGGTGGTTGATTGGAGATGTGAGTCTCTTGGACTGGACTAGTTTTGAACTGAATCCTCAGATTTCAGCCTCCTAAGTAACTAGCATTACAAGCATGAGCCACTGGCACGCAGTTTGAATCAGTTAAGACAAAGAATTGCTTTATTTTCACAAAGCTCTTTTTTTTTTTTTAACAGAGAAGAATCCCTTTATAAACATTGCTTAGTATAGCATAAAGCATGAGCTTTAGTCAGTATAGATCAAGTGCTAAATTCTTTTTTTTTTTGCCAATCCTGGGGCTTGAACTCAGGGCCTGGGCACTGTCCCTGAGCTTCTTTTTTGCTCAAGGCTAACACTCTACCACTTGAGCCACACTACCACTTTCGGCTTTTTCTGTTTATGTGGTACTGAAGAATTGACCCCAGGGCTTCATGCATGCTAGGGAAGCTCTCTACCACTAAGCCACATTCCCAGCTCAAGTGCTAAATTCTTTATATGAGATTTAACCAACATTTTTGAAAAAATTGGTAACAAATTACTTAATCTCAGGCTGAGAATGTGGCTTAGTGGTAGAGTCTTGCCTAGCATGCATGAAGCCTTTGGTTCCATTCCTTAATACCAAATACACAGAAAAAGCTGGAGGTGATGCTATGGCTCAAGTAGTAGAGTGCTAGCCTTGAGCAAAAAGGAAATTCAGGGACAGTGCCTAGGCCCTCAGTACAAGCCCCAGGACTGGCAACTCCTCCTTGCCCCCACAAATCACTTAAGCTCTGTAAGCTACAGTTTCCTTATCTATTTTATCTATAGCATCTATAATTAATATAATGTGGATGTAAATGCTTAGTTCTGTTACCATTGTGATGATGAAGATTCTGGCTCTTGCTTTATACCCTGGTTTCAGTTACTGGAAATATTTGTTGATATTTATTTTCTTGTTTTAAAAGTTGATATTTATTTTCTTGTTTTAAAAGTGCTTATCATGATCCTTTTCATTTGGAAAGGTATATTTATAGTGAGCTTTTTAGTAAAATTATATTTTCTCCTTAGGAATACTTCTTCGATTCTAGAGTGTTAACAGATGGAGAACTGGCTCCCAATGATCGATGCTGTCGTGTATGTGGAAAAATAGGCCATTACATGAAAGACTGTCCCAAAAGGAAGAGGTTGGCAAATAATTACTTATTAGCAATTAGGGAAAATAAACTTGAGGCCAATTTGTAGCTGTAATTGTGTTCAGAAAGGTTATAAAAATGTTCAGGGCTTTAAATTGGGCTTTAGGTTATGCTGATTTGAGTGGAATTTTGTAGTAGTGTAAAACTTATTTTGTGATATAATAGTGTATTATAACATTTGCTCATTCAGTTTTCTTTAATAGAAGTATATGTTGGTAATTGTGTTAGGAGCCAAGAAAAAAAAAAGTAACTAGTACATGGTGTTATTGCTGAGGACTTCAGTCCAGCAAACCATTAATAAAAATATGCTGAACTGAGTCCGTGGGGTATTTATACATGCTCTGAGCTATACTTATATCTTATGTAACTTGAGATACATACATTGTATCTTCCACCACCACCCTCAGGCAAAATGTATCTTATGATGTATACTCCTTCAAGTTCTTACATGGTATATTTAGCTGGCCAGAAAAATTACCTTTTTTCATTGCAAGTCTGACTTAATGTGAAAATTTTGAAATTTTTAGACAAAATCTAGATGGTTCATTGTTATTTACTGACTACTTAGGCAAGATATTTGTCTTTTCTGAGTTCCAGTTTCTTTTTGAGAGATGTGAAGCATTAGTCTCTAAGGGTTCCTAGCAGTTTAAAAATTAAGTATAAAACTAATATACAGTTTCTCACATATAGGTTAGGTGTGCTACAGATGAGAAATTTCTTGTCTTCAACAACAAAATTGCAGGGCTAGGAAGGTGGCTCAGTGGTAGAGCGCATGCCTTGCATGCCAGAGGCCCTGGGTTCGATTCCTCAGCACCACATAAGCAAAAAGAAAAAAAGCTGGAAGTAGCACTGTGGCTCAAGTGGTAGAGCGCTAGCCTTGAGCTGAAGAGCTGAAGGACAGCGCCCAGGCCCAGAGTTGAGGCCCCATGACCAGACCCAAAAAAACAAACCAAAACAACAAAATTGCATGAAACTGTGTAATAACAATGTTATTCTTGGTGTTACTGTGTATAGTTTAGTTTGCTTTATGGCTTGTTCAGTTTACAAGTCCCTAGCCCCACATTATTGTAATAACAATGTTATTCTTGGTGTTACTGTGTGTAGTTTAGTTTGCTTTATGGCTTGTTCAGTTTACAAGTCCCTAGCCCCACATTATTGGTATCAGCAGTTTACTGTTTAGACTAAAGAAGAAAGACAGTGAAGAAGAAAAGGAAGGGAATGAAGAAGAGAAAGACTCCCGAGACCTTCTTGACTCACGTGACCCTCGAGATCTCAGATGTTTTATATGTGGAGATGCAGGACATATACGCAGGGAGTGCCCAGAGGTGAAGCTGGCCCGCCAGAGGAATAGCAGTGTGGCAGGTAAGTACAAAAAGCCAAAAATAGCTGGGGATGTAGCTCAGTGGTAGAATGTTTATCTACTATGTGTAATATGCTAGGCTTGAACCCCAGCACCACAAGAAGAAAACATATGGGCAAAAATAGTTTCTGGCAGAAATAAAGTTGTGTATGTTTATGTCATGCTAAGGACCCTTGTTCCTCAGTTCTCAACAGTCACAAGATTTTTAAATTTCTTAAAGTTAAGATTTAGAGAATGAGGTTTTTACTTACAATGCTATTTGCATATTTATAATCAAAGTATCCACAATCTGTTACACTCAGCTGACTCCCTCTTAAGTAGTCTCTAGTTTGAGTCTGACTCTTTAGTTTGCTTGCTGTTAACGTAGGCACCCAGACAACATGGGCAGAAAAGTTTGTGAGACTCTTACTTCCAATAAACTACTCAGAAAAAGCCAGAAGTATGGTGTTGTGGCTCAAATGACAGAGTGCTACCCTTGAGCACAAAGAGGCTCAAAGATAGACCTACCCCTTCCCCCCAATTCCCCCCCCCCCAAAAAAAAAAGATACTTTCTGTGTCTTGATTTTCTTTGTGGTATCTTCTCTTAGCAGCCCAATTGGTCCGCAACCTTGTGAATGCCCAACAGGTGGCTGGTTCAGCTCAGCAACAGGGTGAACAGTCCATGAGGACTAGACAGTCCTCAGAATGTGTAAGTACTCTAACTGTTAATGAGTGTGTCAGGAGGATAACTATCTGTAGTAGGTGAAAAGGGCTTATTTTCTCAGACTAGCAAGTATAGACTTTAAGATGACATGGGGCTGGGAAGGTGGATCAGTGGTAGAGCACTTGCCTTGCATGCATGAGGCCCTGGGTTCGATTCCTCAGCACCACATAAGCAAAAAGAAAAAAGCCGGAAGTGGCGCTGTGGCTCAAGTGGTAGAGCGCTAGCCTTGAGCTGAAGAGCTGAGGGACAGCACCCAGGTACAGAGTTCAAGCCCCACAACTGGACACCCACCCACACCCACTCCCCCACCCCCCCCCCCCCGCCAAAAAAAAAAAAAGATGACATGGTACCTTGTAGAAGTGTCCTTGCCTTGCTAGGCCCATAAAGTTGAAGGAAGAGTATTGAAGTAAGATACATGGGAACCCATTTGGTAAATAAAACAGCAACTACCTAATAGGATAGATTTAAATAAGGTTAACGATTTTCAGGTGATTTGCCCAGTAGAAAAATGTCAGTACTATTAATAAAAATTGACATATACAATTTTTCATATTTCCTTTTCTTCACTTGCTGCTGTACCTAACTGTAAAAATGGTGCTTTCTTTTGCTAACAGAAATCCAATTTTATCTTTCCATTTTAGAGGCTACTAATGATTAAATGTAGGAAAGGGAACCCTGAGAGTTTTTTTCAATTATTGTTCTTGTAGAGTTGTTATACAGAGAGGTTACAGTTACATAAGTTAGGTAATGAATAATGAGTACAATGTCTCCCCTTCTGTTGCTTTCCCAGTTTTTCCCTTCTGTCCCTACCCACAAGGTGTAGAGTTCATTTTCCACATAGTGTCTAGTGAGTACAACGGTTGTGTTTGTTCATCCTTGTTCCACCTTTTATGTGCATTCCCTTACCCTCCTAAATACTAACGAGATGAAAGGAAAACAAAAGAACAACAATGGCAATTAAAAATGCCTCTTGTTTCCTTTTCTTGGAGTTCACTTCAAAGAATATTAATTTATATGATCATATGGACATAGCTATTGAGCCTTTATCAACCATATCTCTTTGGCCTCAATGTGTGAATGTCTAGAGTCCTATATAAGTTATTGCGTATATTATATATACATTTATTATGTATATTATATATGTATACATTGATTAAATGATATATCAATATAGCTATTTATAATGATATATCATTTAGTCATTCATTGTGTTTCCTGGTAGATTTATAGGCACAGTCTAGTTATCACATATGAGGGAAACGATGTAGCCTATATTCCTTTGGTTCTGGCTTACTTCACTTAATGTAATTTTTCCTTATGAATGGTACAGTATCATTCTGATGGAGGAATAGAATTCTGTTGTGTGTATATACCACATTTTCTTGATCCATTTGTCCACTGAGGGACATGTGGGTTGATTTCATATCTTGGCTGTGGTAAACAATGGTGGGATGAACATGTTGTTCTGAAGGCTTTAGTGTGGCCTGGTTTGTGATCTATTGCCCAGGAGTGGGATTGCTAGGTCATTAGGGGATGTGCTTAGTCTTTTACGGAATCTCCATACTGCTTTCTAGAGTGGTTGAACAAGTTTACATTCCCACCAACAGTATAATAGAGTTCCCTTTTGGCCAAATCCCTCTCAGCATTTGTTATTGTTAGTTTTCCTGGTAGTGGCCATTGTGACCAAAGTGAGGTGGAACCTCAATATTGTTTTGATTTGCATTTCTTTTATGGAACATGTGTATTTATGTAGGGTATTCAAAACAAATTTATACCACTATAATGTGTTGGTTTTACTGAAAGATGGATTTGTAGATAGGTATGGTGCTACATTTAGGAAGCTGAAACAGGTAAATTTTAAATTCAAGGGCAGTCTGGGCTGTCTCAGGGCAGGGAAAGATCTATTTTACTATTTTTTTTTTTTTTTTTTGGGGTCCGGTCGTGGGCCTGAACTCTGGGCCTGGGCGCTGTCCCTCAGCTCTTCAGCTCAAGGCTAGCACTCTACCACTTGAGCCACAGCGCCACTTCCGGCTTTTTTCTTTTTGCGTATGTGGTGCTGAGGAATCGAACCCAGGGCCTCAGGCATGCAAGGCAAGCGCTCTACCACTGAGCCACCTTCCCAGCCCCTTTACTATTTTTTAAAAAATCTAAGCATGTACTCTTTAGTAGTAGCTTGTAATTTGTTAAAACATTAACTTGGAAAACCCAAGTTACAAGCTGTATTTTATAAAATTTTAATAAATTTTATATAACAAATTACAAGCTATATTTTATTATACTATATATTATATGTTCTTTATTACAGTAATTGTTACGCTTTCTGTTCTTTTGTGCTGGTCTAGTTGGTGCTTGAACTCAGGGACCAAGGTGCTGTTCCTGAGCTTTTTTGCTCAAGGATAGGGCTCTACTGAAACCACAGCTCCACTTTCAACTTTTTTCTGGTTAACCAGAGATCAGAGTCTAATGGACTTTCCTGTCCAGACTAGTTCGATCTTCAGAGCTCAGCCTAGTGAGTAGTGAGGATTACAGGCGTGAGCCACTGAAAGACAGTTATACACTTTGTCTATGTGATCTTTTTCTGCTGTTTTCTTTTTCCCCTTAAACCTTAAGCTCATTGAAAGCATACACTCTAGAATTCTATTTCTTGTACTTAGAATAATGTACAGTAAATAATTGATTTTCAATAGATATTTGTTGAGGGACTGAATGAAAATGACCATGAGTTATTTACATGTAAGTTTCTAGTTCATCATGGGAAATACATGCATGTTCTGTATACTATACAGAAATGATATCTAGTGTCTATTTCCTTTAGACAGTAAAAAGGTTTTTAAGGCAATATTCATGAAAGGGAGAATTTCAGAAATATAAAAATTTATCTTCATCTAAAATGAAGTTTTAGCTGAGACAATCATATAGTTCTGCATATAATGTTCTAATAAAATAACTTCATAATTTGTATCTTGATAAACTCAACTTTTATAAAATTAAAATGTTTGTAAATTTATTTTAAAATGTCATTTTTTTTCTCTCTTCTCTGCAGTCTGATTCACCATCTTATTCTCCTCAGCCCCAGCCATTTCCACAAAATTCTTCCCAATCAGCTGCTATTACCCAGTCTCCATCTCAGCCAGGATCCCAACCTAAGCTTGGCCCACCTCAGCAGGGAGCCCAGCCACCACATCAGGTCCAGATGCCCTTGTATAACTTTCCCCAATCACCACCAGCGCAGTATTCTCCCATGCATAATATGGGATTGTTGCCAATGCACCCCCTCCAGATCCCCACCCCCTCATGGCCTATTCATGGCCCAGTGATCCACTCTGCACCAGGCAGTGCCCCCAGCAATATTGGCCTGAATGATCCCAGCATAATCTTTGCACAGCCTGCTGCCAGACCCGTGGCAATCCCTAGTTCCTCTCATGATGGACACTGGCCTCGAACTGTGGCTCCAAATTCCCTGGTGAACAATGGTGCAGTGGGGAATTCAGGTAACCTTTTGTTTTTAACTTTGTATCTGTACAAAGGTTGGGTGACTAATGTTTTTGTGTAAACAATATTTATGAAGTTGTAAAAAGTTACAGGTTTTATATATATACACACATACAAACACATATATATGTACATATATATATATCTTAGATTTGAATCTAGTTCTGCCATTTATTATCATAATAATGGTTTCATTCCTGAAACCTAGTGATACAGTGAATATTAAATGAGATAATACACTTAAATGTTAGTTAAAATTTTTTCCCTCCCTCCCTCCCTCCCTCCCTCCCTCCTTCTCTCCCTCCCTCTCTTCCTCCCTTCCTCCCTCCCTCTCTTCCTCCCTCCCTTCCTGCCTTCCTTCCTTCTCTTCTCTTCTCTTCTCTTCTCTTCTCTTCTCTTCTCTTCTCTTCTCTTCTCTTCTCTTCTCTTCTCTTCTCTTCATCCTTCCCTCCCACCTTCCCTCCCTCTCTGTCTCTTTCTCTGTGTCTCTTTGTCTGTCTGTCTGTCTGTTTCTTTCTCTCTATCTTTCTTTTTTTTTCTTTTGTTGGTCATGGGGCTTGAACTCTGGGCCTGAGCACAGTCCCTCAGCTCTTCAGCTCAAGGCTACCACTTGAGCTATAGCGCCACTTCCAGTTTTGTGGTGGTTTATTGGAGATAAGAGTTTCGCAGACTTTCCTGCCCAGGCTTGTTTTGAACTGAGATCCTCAGATCTCAGCCTCCTGAGTAGCTAGGATTATAGGCATGAGCCACCGGTGCCCGGATCTCGCTCTCTCTCACTCTCTCCTCTTCCCCCCCTCCCCTCTCTCTCCCCCCCTTCTCTCTCTCCCCCCTCTCTCCCCTCTTTCCTCTTTCCTCTCTCCTCTTTCCTCTCTCCTCTCTTGACTTTTCTGCCCAGGCTGGCTTTGAACCATGAGCCTCATATTTCAGCCTCCTGAGTAGCTAGGATTATAGTTGTAAGCCACCGATACCCGACTTTTTCATTGCTTTCTGTGTTACTGGTACTCATAGCTGGTAAAATTGAAGGGTTAAGTAACTTAACATTTCTCATAGTTAATTATGATACATCTAAAATTTAAACTTAACTTTTTTCTTCAAAACCTGTGCTATGGACTCTACTGTGTCTTTAGTAAGGAACAGTTCTTTAAAAAGCAGAAGATATTAATAGCAATTAACATTTCAATGTAAGTAATACTCATAGAAGATTATAAAAAGGAAGTCATTTATAATCTAAATTCTTACAAGTAACCAAGTAAACTTTTCACATATGATATATTATACTTGCTTATTTAAAAATAGTTGATATTGGGGCTGGGAAGGTGGCTCAGTGAATGCTTACATGAGTCCCTGGGTTTGATTCCTCAGCACCAAAGCCAGAAGTGGCGTGGGGCTCAAGTGGTAGAGCGCTAGCCTTGAGCTGAAGAGCTGAGGGACAGGCACCCAGGCTCAGAGTTCAGGCCCCACAACTGACAAAAAAAAAAAGTTGATATTTGCTAGGCACTAGTACCTTATGCCTGTAATCAATCCTAGCTATTTAGGAAGTTGATATGTGAGGATCACATTGTAAGCTAGCCCAGCAGGAAAGTCTGTGAGACTCTTAATCTCCAGTTAATCCATAAGAAGTCCGAAATGAAGCTGTGGCTCAAGTGGTAGAGTGCTAACCTTGAGCAAAAAAGCCTAGTCCCTGAGTTTAAGTCCCTGGATTGGCACACGTATGCATGCATGTGCGTGTGTACACACACACCTGTGAAAAAATAAGTTGATAGTTGTTAGTTTTATATTTTTGGTGATTTTTTTTTAAGGACACAGTACAGGGCATTGCACGTGGGTCCTTCTCCTTGCTAGGCAGGTATTCTTAATTCTCAGCCATACTTCCAGCCCTGATTTTTGTTTGTTAATTTGGGGATAGGGTTCTGCTTTTTGCCCAGGCATTCACCTTCCTGTGTTGCTAGAATAACAATGTGTCCTGCATCCAGCTCTTCGTTGAGATGGGTATCTTGAGAACCATTCTGCCCAGGCTTACCTTAAACTTCTGGCCTTCCAATCCCAAAGTAGCTAGAATTACAGACTACTTTTATCTTTATTTAAAAACCATGATGAGGGGCTGGGAAGGTGGCTCAGTGGTAGAGCGCTTGCTTTGCATGCATGAAGCTCTGAGTTCGATTCCTCAGCACCACATAAGCAAAAAGAAAAAAGCCGGAAGTGGTACTGTGGCTCTAATGGTAGAGCGCTAGCCTTGAGCTGAAGAGCTGAGGGACAACGTCCAGGCCCAGAGTTCAGGCCCCACGACCGGACACCAAAAAAAAAAAAAAAAAAAAAACCATGATGAAAGGTTAAAGGTATGGCTCAGTGGTGGGTGTCAGCCTAGCAAATGCAAGGTCCTGAATTCAAACACCAAGTTCCACCAAAAAACAAAAAAATTATGGAAATTCTGAAACATACTCAAAAGGAAACAGTTAATGAACCCCCTATTATTAAGTATAACAGTTGTCAGTAATTTCATTTATTTTAAAATCGGATGTCTTAACCACCATTTAAAATTTTTATTGGCTTGATATCAATACAGTTCTAGACATTGGATCAAATTTGCCTTTAAAACTTGTTTATATTTTTTAAAAAACCAACTAAAAATCAAGTCTTATTACTATATCCAAAACCAGTAATCCTTTTTGATTTTTTCATGTTTGTCTAAAAGCAGGTATCTTATTTGATTTATTTGAATCAGGATCAAAACAAAGCCTGTAATAGTACATGTTTTTTTTTTTTTTGGGGGGGGGGGGTCCGGTCGTGGGGCCTGAACTCTGGGCCTGGGCACTGTCCCTCAGCTCTTCAGCTCAAGGCTAGCACTCTACCACTTGAGCCACAGGGCCACTTCCGGCTTCCGGCTTTTTTTCCTGCTTATGTGGTGCTGAGGAATCCAACCCAGGGCCTCATGCATGCAAGGCAAGCGCTCTACCACTGAGCCACCTTCCCAGCCCTACATGTGGTTTTTGTATTCCATGAATGTTCTTTAATTTATAAGCTTCCCTTAGGATTTTCCCTATATTTGTGTGTGTGTGTGTGTGTGTGTTAGGTTTTTTTTTGTTGTTGTTGTTGTTGGTCCTGGGGCTTGAACTCTGGGCCTGGGCGCTGTCTTTCAAGCTCTTCAGCTCAAGACAAGTACTCTACCACTTGAGCCACAATGCCACTTATGGTTTTCTGGCAGTTTATTGGTGATAAGAGTCTCACGGATTTCAGGGACTTTACTGCCCAGGCTGGCTTTGAACAGCGATCCTTAGATCTCAGCCTCCTGAGTAGCTAGGCTTATAGGCATGAGCCACCAGTGCCCAGCTTCCCATATTTGTTGAACAAATTAGAATTTCTCATTTTTCAATCTGCTGATGTTGTCTTGTCAGTTTAATTTATTGCCTACTTCTGTCCTGTAAACTATTAGATTTTGAGACTATATTAGATTGAGGTTCTTTTGGTTGTATATTTCTTGTACTCTTACTTCAGTAGGAATTGAACTGTCTGGTTGTTCATATCTTAATAAATTAAGATTAATCTGAACTGGGCTTTGGTGGTTCATGCCTTTAATCCTAGCTACTCAGGAGGCTGAGATTGGAGGAATGGTTCAAAGCCAGCCTGGGCAGGAAAGTCCACAAGACTCTTTATCTCCAGTTAACCACCAGAAAACCAGAAGTGGTGCTGTGGCACAAGTGGTATAGCGCTTGCCTTAAGCTGAAGAGCTGAGGGATAGTGCCTAGAGTTCAAGCCTCACGATCAAAAAAAATCTGTCAGTTAAGTGTTTTCCTGTTCTATCCATTATAAAATAAAGTTCTTCATTTACACTTAATGGTCTTAAGTTATTAATTATTGCCAACATCTATTATTTCATTAGTAGTTTTTTTTCCCCAGTTGTGGGGCTTGAACTCTGGCCCTGGGTGCTGTCCCTGAGCTCTTCAGCTCAAGGAGAATGCTCTACCACTTGAACCACAGTGCCACTCTCACGGACTTTCCTGCCTGAGCTGGCTTTGAACCACAGTCCTCAGATCTCAGCCTCCTGAGTAGTTAGGATTACAGGCATGAGCCTCCAGCACTTCGCTCATTATTAGTTTTAAAAGGATTTTTTTTTGGGGGGGGGAGGGGAATCTGGTCGTGGGGCCTGAACTCTGGGCCTGGGCGCTGTCCCTCAGCTCTTCAGCTCAAGGCTAGCGCTCTACCACTTGAGCCACAGCGCCACTTCTGGCTTTTTTTCTTTTTGCTTATGTGGTGCTGGGGAATCGAACCCAGGGCCTCATGCATGCAAGTCAAGCGCTCTACCACTGAGCTACCTTCCCAACCCCTAAAACGGTTTTATATTTACTTATATTTGATTACCCTAAAATAGCTTGTTTGGGGAATGTAAACTAAAAATATGATTTTTTTTTTTTTGGGTCAGTCATGGTGCCTGAACTCTGGGCCTGGGTGCTGTCCCTCAGCTCTTTAGCTCAAGGCTAGTGCTCTACCACTTGAGCCGCAACACCACTTCTGGCTTTTTCCTGCATATGTGGTGTTGAGGAATCGAACTCAGAGCCTCATGCATGCAAGGCATGCACTCTTCCACTGAGCCACCTTCCCAGCCCAAAATATGATTATTTTTAAAAGAACTTTAGAGATAATTTTAAACAAAAGTAGGTTATTTCTTAGAGACCTATGAAAAAAGTTTCTTAAACCTGATTGGGGACAGTGCTGTGGCTCAAAGTGGTAGAGTATTAGCCTTGAACAGGAAACAAACAAATAATCAGTAAAAAGCTAGACTGTGGGGGCTGGGAAGGTGGCTCAGTGGTAGAGCGCTTGCCTTGCATGCCAGAGGCCCTGGGTTCGATTCCTCAGTACCACACAAGCAAAAAGAAAAAAGCCGGAAGTGGTGCTGTGGCTCAAGTGGTAGAGCGCTAGCCTTGAGCTAAAGAGCTGAGGGACAGCTCCCAGGCCCAGAGTTGAGGCCCCACGACCGGACCCAAAAAAAAAAAAATGTAAAGACTGAATGGGAATACATTAAAATGATGATCATTTTTATAAGAGTTGAGGGTGCTCCAACTCCTCCCATAAGAAAATATTTGGTTGTGAAAGTGAATAAAGGAGGGCTGGGAAGGTGGCTCAGTGGCCTTGCATGCATGAATGCATGAGGCCCTTGGGTTTGATTCTTCAGCACCACATAAGTAGAAAAACCCAGAAGTGGTGCTATGGCTCAAAGTATAGAGTGCTAACCTTGAGCTGAAGAGCTGAGGGACAGCGCCCAGGCCCGGAATTCAGGCCCCACAACTGACAAAAAAAAAAAAAAGGAAGAAAAGAAAGGAAGTAAGGAAGGGAGGGAGGGAAAGAAAGAAAGAGAGAAAATGAATAAAGGAGATTGGAATATATCCTTAAAAATTAACTCCTTCATATTAAAACTTTTCTCAATTGGCCATGACTTAAATCTGTATACCCAGTATCATTTACTTTATAAACCCAGAGCCCTTCAATTTCAGCCCTTAGTTGTAACATGATTACATTGAACTAGCTATTTTTTCTTTCTGATCACTTCCCAAGAAGATTGAGCTTGTAAGAATGCAAATAAAGGTCTTAGTTTTCTTGTACCCTACTCCTCTGGTATAAAGTTCAGTGAATAAAGGCAGGGTTTTTCAGTTATTCCTTAGCACCTTATGACACTTGAATGGGAAAAGCCACCAGACACTATTCAGAAGATTTGGTGCGTACTACACTTGGAAAAAGAAAAAATGTACGTAATGATAGAATAGATTTTAAGGGGATATGGTTTGCCGTAGAAAGAATGTGTCTTCTCTCTCTTAAAATTTCCTATTGATAGGCCATAATTTGTGCAAGTCACTTTTTTTGTTGGTGGTGTGGGGCTTGAACTCAGGGTCTGGGCACTGTCCCTGAGCTTTTGCATTTAAAGATAATGTTCTACCACTTTGAGCCACAACATCACTTCCAGTTTTCTGTTGGTTACTTGGAGGTAAGAGTCTCCATAGCTGAGTGCCAGTGGCTTATGAGGCCTGTAATCCTAGCTACTGAGGAGGCTAAGATCTGAGGATCATGGTTCAAAGCTAGCCCGGGCAGGAAACTTTATCTCCAATAAACTACCAGAAAACTGGATGTGGCTCTGTGGTTCAAGCGGTAAAGCGCTCACCTTGAGCTGAAGAGCGCAGGGACAGTGCCCAAACCCAGAGTTAACCCAAACCCCACGACCAACAACAACAAAAAAGTCTCCACTGCCCAAGCTGTCTTTGAACCATGATCCTCAGATCTCAGCCTTCTGAGTAGTCAGGATTATAGCTGTAAGCCACTGGCACCTGGTGCCACTTTTTATTTATTTCATTCAACTATTATTACAACTGTAGATTCAAAAGGAAGCCTTCATAATTTTCAGAACTGTGATTTGGATTAGACCTGTTTGATTGCAAAGCCCAAGATCTCTCTCAGTAATTATACCACATTCCCTCAAGCTTCTAATAGAATTTTTAGAATCATTTTAAGCCCAAAATTCAGGGATAGTTAGCATTTACTTAAGAATAAAATGTAAGTTCCTTAACATGTTTTATTCCTTTGAGATGTTTCTCCAGTGATCTTTTATTTCTTCCACCTCTTTCTATATTGCTGATTGTTTGATACTCCCAAATTTCTGTGCTTTTCTTTCCTTTTTATACTTCTTTTACTCTCTGAAATGCTGTCTCCTACCCCATTTTCCTAACTTTTTCCTTGTTTTTTTTTTTTTTTTGCCTGAGCACTATCCCTGAGCTTTTTTTGTTCAATTAGTGCTGCACCACTTTGAGACATAGCTCTATTTCTGGTTTTCTTGTGGTTAATTGGAGATAAAAATATCATGGACTTTCCTGCTCTGGTTAGCTTTGACTCACAATCCTCAGATCTCAGCCCCCTGAGTAGCTAGGATTACAGTTGTGAGCCACCAGCACCCACCTTGTTCCTTGTTTTCTAAAATATATCACTTAGTCATCTAAAGAAGATGTTCTTTAACCTTCAAAGGCTGGATAAGCCCTTCTTCGTAACACCTTTGCCTATCTGGTATAGCAGTTTTACATTATTGTTTATATCTTACTCTATCTCTTATAAATAATCAAACCATAATGTTTGGTTTCTTGAATTTTCTTTTTTTGGTATACCACTTGGGCCCAGCTCACAACTTATACTATATTTTTACAGAATGAAGGAACATTGGAATGAAGAAGGAAGTATTTTAAAATGTATTTTTTATTGTCTTTCTGAAATACAGAGCCACGCTTTCGAGGACTGAACCCTCCAATTCCTTGGGAACATGCACCACGTCCTCATTTTCCCCTCGTCCCAGCTTCGTGGCCTTATGGTTTGCATCAGAACTTCATGCATCAGGGAAATGCAAGATTTCAGCCCAACAAACCTTTCTATACTCAAGGTATCATTGTTTACAAATTAATAGCTGGCTGGGTTTTATTCCTTACAGGGAGCCTCAATGAAAACCAGGATCTGGGTTTGAAAAATTCATGCATTAAGGAAACAATACATGTCATACTGTAATACATACTTCTTCCTCAAGAGTAAAATGAAATCTCCTGACATTTTATCAGAAGAGCCCAACATGTAAAATTAAACAAGAATAGGAATTCAGGGGAATGAGTTAATATTACCCTAGTAGAGGGGTCAGAATTGTTACTAGAGATTGTATCATAAAAGATTTTGACATTTGAGCTGGGCACCGGTGGCTCACGCCTGTAATCCTAGCTACTCAGGAGGCTGAGATCTGAGGATTGTGATTCAAAGCCAGCTGGGGCAGGAAAGACCGTGAGACTCCTATCTCCAATAAACCCCCAGAAAACCGGAAGTGGCGCTGTAGCTCCAGTGGTAGAACGCTCGCCTTGAGCTGAAGAGCTGAGGAACAACACCCAGGCCCAGAGTTCAAGCCCCGTGACTGACCAAAAAAAAAAAGAGATTTTGATGTTTGAATTTGGCTTTATGATAGAGGATTCCCCCCCCCCCCCCCCATTTCAGATTAGAAGCAACATGGAATATTTCTATCTAAGGGAACACTATACAAAATGTCACTGAATTTTGTATAACATATTGATGACAAAAAGAAAATCTACAGGATGGAGTTATAAGATGAAGACATAAAATATATATATTCAGAGCTGGATGCTGGTGGCTCACACCTGTAATCCTAGCTGCTCAGGAGGCTGAGATCTGAGGATTGCAGTTCAAAGCCAGCCTCGGCAGGAAAGTCTGTGAGACTGTTGTCTCCCAACTAATCACACAAAAAAAGTGGAAGTGGCTCAAGTGGTACAGCGCTAGCCTTGAGCAAAAGGAGCTCAGGGACAGTGCCTAGACCCAGAGTTCAAGCCCCAGAACTAGTTAACATTAAAAAAAAAAAAAGGGTAATGTGGCTTAGTGATAGAGTGATTGCCTAGCATGCGTGAAGCCCTGGGGTCAATTCTACAGAAAAAGCCAGAAGTGGCACTGTGGTTCAAGTGTTAGAATGCTAGCCTTGAGCAAAAGAACTCAGGGACAGTGCTCAGGCCCTGAGTTCAAGCCCCAGAACTAGCACACACACAAAATAAAGTGTCCGTCCCACCAGCAATGGTATTTGTAGTCTGGGAATCATGATAAAGTAGAATTTCAAGAAATTAAAAGCATAGAAGTCTGTAATTCCCATTTTCTGCCTGGAGACCAAGAAATGTTTCTTCCTTTTTCCTTATTCTCCCTACTTTATCCTGTTATACTAAAATACATCCTTGGGTCTTTAAAAAGAAAAGAAAGCACACACTAAGGATATAAATGCTGGTTGAATGAAATAATTTTAAAGGGAGGCCCATGGTATAACTCTCAGGCTTGATAAATTTAAGCCTTCTTATATTTGCCATGTACTGCTGGGGCACTTCTTATAATAGAATGGGATACCCTTGGCTATCGTTGGGTTCTTTCTTGAGTAGATACATAGGGCAGAGGAAAGTTATCAGTTGTATAAACAAACCATTTTTAAGATAGGAGAGTCTGAAATTTTCCCCTTGATCTCCACCCCATTTCTTTTGTCTCCTTTCCTTTCACATACCTACATTTCCCTCGTACTTCCAACTATAGCTTCTTCTCCAAATGTTTTAGTATGCTTCTTTTATTATAGAAGTAGATAGAGAACTGGTTTTATAAGTTGATTATAAGGGGTTGTCAGATAAATAGGCACAAGCCTTTCAGTTTCCTGTCTGTGTTGTGTCCAACAGACAGATGTGCCACCCGTCGGTGTAGAGAGCGTTGTCCCCACCCACCAAGAGGAAACGTGTCGGAGTAATGCGAGTCCATTTTCTTTCAGCTGGTCTACCGATGCACAACCAACAGCCAATCCTGCTGTCTCAAGGGTATCCGTACCTCAATGTCAGTTACATTCAGCAGAAAAAGTGACATTTAATGGAAAGCAAAACAAATCAGGTCCTGATTTAAAATTTTAACACGTTTAGATAGCTTATTTAAATCCTAAGACTGTTTTTAAACACTGTATTATTTGTATATAAATATGAACTATAGTTTTTACTAGTATCACCAAATTGAGTGATACAAATTTCATCTATTTTATTACCCTATTTTTAAGGGAATTTTATGTTTTGTTTAACCTTGATGAAATTGTATAAAGAGAGAATTTAAAAAATGACATTCTTTATTTTCTATTAGCTGTATTCATACTTTGGTTGCTTCAGACTTTATATATATTGTTCTTAAGAATTAGGAAAGAATTTCATGTGTTTTAAATCTGTCACTTCTATTCTTTACAGAACCTTGTAGTGCCAAAAACTTTTTAAAAGGTTAAAAAAAAAAACTACAACATGAAGATTCAAACTTCTTTCTTTTACATACTTGTATATTGAATATATTCAAACTTGAATGGAAAAATGCTTTTGTCTGTATTTGAAGTTCTATTTTAAGTTAATAAATCTTTTTGACAAGAGTCAAATTTGGTTAATTCGTCTGGTTTAAAAAGATTTGTACTTGGGGATGGTAAGGTGGCTCAGTGTTAGACTGCTTGCCTTGCATGCGTGAGGCCCTAGGTTCAATTCCTCAGCACCACATAAGCAGAAAAAGCCAGAAGTGACACTATGGCTCAAAGTGGTAGAGCACTAGCCTTGAGCTGAAGAGCTAAGGGACAGCGCCCAGGCCCAGAGTTCAGGCCCCATGACCGACCAAAAAAAGAAAAGAAAAAAGACTTGTACTTTCATTGAATATTACCTAGTTTTAGAAGATTTAAGGATCTTTTCTTGTCCTTTATTGGATTATCACAATTATATGAAGTTGATAGATGCATATGCTATCATCATTTTATCATTGAAAATGAAATGCAAGGAAAGCAGTGAATTCCAAAGGTGGAACACTTACTTGGAACTTTTGAGGGCTCAGTGTTAGAATAGTTTGTCTAGCATACACAAGGCTCTTGGATTCTGGTCCCCTCCACTCATCCACAAAATAGCTATGTTGTAGGAATTTGTGTGTGTGTGTGTGTGTGTGTGTGTGTGTGTGTGTTGTTATTTAAAAACAAAACAAAACAAACCACCTTGAATCCAGTGCTGGTTGTTCATGTCTGTAATCCTAGCTACTCAGGAGACTGAAATCTGCAAATCACAGTTTGAAGCCATCCCAGGCAGGAAAGTCTGGGACACTCTTATTAAGACAATACCCAGGCCCTGAGTCGAAGCATAAAACTGGCCAAAACTCAACAACTACAACAACAAACCGTGACTTATACTGACAAAGTAAAAGGAAAGTAATTCTTATTTATTAATAACCTTGTATATAATTGAGTGCCTTAGAGCCTGATGCTGGAGCTTCACGCCTGTAATTCTAGCTTCTTGGGAAGCCAAGATTGTTGGGATCAATGTTCAAAGCCAGCCTGAGCAGAAAACATTCATGAGCCTCCCTTCTCAAAAAAGCTGGATGATGCTCTGCATGCCTGTTACACCAGCTACTGTAAGGCCTAACAAAGGTGGATCATACCTAGGTGCATGCCCAGGCAGGAAGCAAAAATTAATCAGCAAAAATTAAGGCTCCAAAGGCACAATACCTCTGTGCCTTTGACCATATAAAATAATGTTTATTGAACTCCAGGAAATAGAAATGAGAGTTTTTTTCTTTGCTTTTTGTCTTGTTTGTTAATTTATCTGTCTTTGGGGGGGGCGGTAAGAGGGGACACAGAAATGGACAATGGGTGAACAGGTGGAGCAGTGTGGTACTCAGTAGACACTGAACTATAAAAGATACAACTGTTGGAAGAAATAGGAGGAGGAAACTAGGAGAGAATGAAGGAAAGGGTGACAGTGTCCTAAAAGAAATGTACTCATGGGGCTGGGAAGGTGGCTCAGTGGTAGAGCGCTTGCCTTGCATGCCTGAGGCCCTGGGTTCAATTCCTCAGCACCACATAAGCAAAAAGAAAAAAGCCAGAAGTGGCGCTGTGGCTCAAGTGGTAGAGCGCTCGCCTTGAGCTGAAGAGCTGAGGGACAGCGCCCAGGCCCAGAGTTCAAGCCCCACCAAGCTACTCAGGAGGCTGAAATCTGGAGTTCATAGTTTGTTGCCTGGGGCTGGGAAGGTGGCTCAGTGGTAGAGCACTTGCCTTGCATGCATGAGACCCTGGGTTCGATTCCTCAGCACCACATAAGCAAAAAGAAAAAAGCCGGAAGTGGCGCTGTGGCTCAAGTGGTAGAGCTAGTCTTGAGCTGAAGAGCTGAGGGACAGCGCCCAGGCCGAGTTCAGGCCCCACGACTGGAATAAAAAAAAAAAAAGAGTTTTAGGCCAGCCGGGCGCTGGTGGCTCACGCCTGTAATCCTAGCTACTCAGGAAGCTGAGATCTGAGGATCGCGGTTCAAAGCCAGCTCGGGCAGGAGAGACCGTGAGACTCTTATCTCCAATAAACCCCCAGAAAACCGGAAGTGGCGCTGTAGCTCAAGTGGTAGAGTGCTCGCCTTGAGCTGAAGAGTTGAGGGTCCAGGCCCAGAGTTCAAGCCCCACGACCGACAAAAAAGAGTTTTAGGCCACATGATGCTATAGATAGGCTTGGGAATGTGAATAAGTAGGTAAGAATATTTAAAGGACAGTATATTGTTTTTTTCTTCCTTAGATAGGGATTATTTATATAGGACACTACCTGTATGTACTCTTGCCATACTTTCCACCATGGAGAATATTTGAAATATTCCATGAAATTCAGGAAGTTGAGAATATTCCTGTCATGTTTACAACACTAAAAAAAGATCAGTTTTGTGTGTGTGTGTTAGTTTGTCCTATATCCTTCAGAATTTTAATAGAATCAGATGATTTCTTTTTTAATGAGATACCTGATCTTGTGTGGTTCTATATTAAAATATGGTGTGAACATTCAAGGTTTTCTTTAAGATTGGCAGCCCAATATTTCATCTCCTGTCAGGTATTGGAAACTAGCTTATGAGGTACACAAAGGTGTTTACTTTTCTCTCTACTTATCTTTTGTTCAATCTAGGGTTTGAATTTAGGGCTTTGCACTTGCTGGCATTTTACCACCACAACCAGGCCTCCAGACCTACTTTTTGGTGGTTATTTTGAAGATGGAGTCTAGTTAACCTTTCTGAACTAGCATCAAACCACAGTCCTCCAGATCTCAGCCTCCTGGATAGCTAGGATTACAGGTGTTAGCCACTTGTGCTCAACCCTACTTTTTTTTTTTTTCACTGTTGAGCTTTTCTGCTCAACTGCACCCTATCACTTTGAGCCATAGCTCTACTTTCTGTTTTCTGGTAGTTAATTGAAGTTAAGAGTCTCATAGACTTTCCTACCCAAGATGGCCTTGGACTGCAATCTTCCTATTTTATCCTCCTGAGGTGCCCTGTGCCCAGCTCAATCCTACTTCTGTTAATAAACACTCAAAACCTTCAACAGGGAGAATGCTCCAACTCAGCCTCCCTTTCTTTTTTATTTATTTATTTTTTTTTGTCGGTCGTGGGGCTTGAACTCTGGGCCTGGGCTTTGTCCCTTAGCTCTTCAGCTCAAGGCGAGCGCTCTACCACTTGAGCTACAGCGCCACTTCCGGTTTTCTGGTGGTTTTATTGGAGATAGGAGTCTCACGGTCTCTCCTGCCCGGGCTGGCTTTGAACCGCGATCCTCAGATCTCAGCCTCCTGAGTAGCTAGGATTACAGGCGTGAGCCACCAGCGCCCGGCTCAGCCTCCCTTTCTAAAAGCAGTAGACCACTAGGCAAAATCCATATGGGTTACCTGGCAACCAGAAATCTGGGTTTTACTTATGTTACAGTATTATATATACTTGTTTTTAGCTCTTACCTGCCAGTGACTAATAACTTAAAAAAACTGTTACAGGCTGAAAAACAGAATAACCTTACTTTATATTTTATACTAGTGACTCGGCATTTTAAGTTTGAAAAGTTGATTATGAATTAAAATTCATTAGCAACTGAAAAGTACAGCAAGATTACCCGTCTTTTTTTTTGGGGGGGGGGGCCCGGTTGTGGGGCCTGAACTCTGGGCCTGGGCGCTGTCCTTCAGCTCTTCAGCTCAAGGCTAGTGCTCTACCACTTGAGCCACAGCACCACTTCCGGCTTTTTTCTTTTTTGCTTATGTGGTGCTGAGGAATCGAACCCAGGGCCTCATGCATGCAAGGCAAGCGCTTTACCACTGAGCCACCTTCCCAGCCCCAGATTACCAGTCTTATCCATAAAACACACCCAACTTCTTAGGGATCATATTGTTTTGAAATATTCTAACATAGAGGTTCATATTTTCCTTGACATTAAGATTGTTCAAAATGTATTGATATGTGTGATTAATTTGTTCAGCCCTTTCCATGTGGACTGTTGCCGTTTCTTTGTGTGATAGTGACGATGGGATAAAGCTATTTTGCGTGTACATTTGTTCTATTAGGGTAAATTCCCCCAAATAGGGATTCGGGGTAGGTAAAGGATATATAGTTCTTAGGTTTCTGCTAAATAATGCCTAATTGCCTTTCAGAAAAAGTTACCAGTGTGTACTTCCAACAACTTATATGATAGTGTTTATTAAAGACCTCCCAATTCATTTTTCATTAAAATAACTTCATGTTTATTGAAGTTACAGAAAAGTATAAAACTCACCAAAATGTCATTGATCAGAAATAAGTTCTATTAATATCCTTGTGAATGTCATTCCAGATATCTTCTTTAAGCAGACACAAATGCTTTCACAGAAGTGGGATCATACACTATCTTAGCAAATTATTTTCACCCTACACAGCACCAGGTAAATAGAAAATTGAGGAAATGCTCAAATTAACATTTTTCTCCCCATAATACTCTTTAAGAATCCTCTTAAGATCAATTATGGAAAACACTGGAGCGTTTTGTTTTGTTTTGTTTTTCCTGTGCTGGTCCCTGAACATTTTTTGCACAACAGGTGCTCTACCACTTGAGCCACAGCTCCATTTCTGGTTTTTTGGTTAGAGAAAAGCCTCAGACTGGCTTCAAACTGCAATCCTCAGATCTTAGTCTTCTGAGTAGCTAGGATTACAGGTATGAGCCACTGGTGCTTGGCTGGTGGTGTAATTCTCTTTTCTAGTTTCATGGGGTTTTTTTTTTTTGTTTTTTTTTGTTTGTTTGTTTTGGGTCCAGTCGTGGGGCCTGTACTCTGGGCCTGGGTGCTGTCCCTCAGCTCTTCAGCTCAAGGCTAGCGCTCTACCACTTGAGCCATAGCACCACTTCCAGTTTTCTAGTGGTTTATTGAAGTCTCATGGACTTTCCTGATGGGGTGGCTTTGAACAGTGATCCTCAGATCTCAGCTCCTGCGTAGCTAGGATTACAGGCGTGAGCCACCAGTGCCCAGCAATATTTAATGCTTTTATACTACGTTGAGTTTAAAGAATTTGTCACTTGTAACTTTTTTTTTTTTGGTTGGTGGTGGGGCTTGAACTCTGGGCCTGGGCGCTGTCCCTCAGCTCTTCAGCTCAAGGCGAGCGCTCTACCACTTGAGCTAAGGCGCCACTTCCGGTTTTCTGGTGGTTTATTGGAGATAGGAGTCTCACAGTCTCTCCTACCTGGGCTGGCTTTGAACCGCAATCCTCAGATCTCAGCCTCCTGTGAGTAGCTAGGATTACAGGTGTGAGCCACTAGCGCCCAGCACTTGGACTGGGCAGCCATCTGTGACCATTTTTTTCTCATTAATATTTAAATTTAACATCAGCATTCTGAAGAATAATAGAAAAAAAAAGGTTAAAGGAATGAGCTTTACTTTGGGTGGTTATATTGGAACACTGTCATCAGATCTGTTATTTCTTGTCTTCAATTCTTAGTATTGAGATTATAATGGTAGAGCTTCTAAGGCATGGTACTGCCATTTATGAAAACTGATATTGTGTAATGTATACAACAATGTTATCTATATATGTTATATCTATAATCTATATTATAGATAATATAGTTACATATTACATAATATATTGAGTGTTTTAAATGAAAACATTTTTGACTATTAATATATTAGTATATATACTATCTATAATTAGTAGATACATATACTACACTATGTATTATATGTATTAGTTAAAACATATATTATTAAAACAAGGAGAAATAGAAACCTCTTTCAGAAAATAGGACTTAAAAGACAAGAAATAGATAATTAAGAAATTTTATATTTTGCATAAGGAATAATTTTCCTAAATCTGCTTCAGTACAAAGAATACATGGTATGTACAGAAAGGTAAAATGTGAAAACACTTCTTAGTATAGCAGTTGTAGCCAGTTTTAAAGCTCCCATTCCAAGGCCTATCAGATAAGTAAACATTACATATCCTTTTCAGTTTATCAAAATGATCTCTAGAAAGATGTTCAACAGAATAGGGACATTCTGATTCCTGCTGTGGCTTGGTTATGCTGCCTCAGTTTTGGTCTAAACAAGAATGCATTATAATTTATGCTTGGGAAGGTTTATTTCTGATATTCAAATCTTGGGACTTTTTACAGGTTTATTTTCACTTCAGTAATGATCAGTATACTGATCATGCTTAGTTGGTCCATGGATCATTTAGCCAAAAGGTATTTCTTTATACCTAGAGTACTTTAGTAAAGAAATAACTTCTGGGAGTTTCTAACAGACTTACATAGAGATGCTTATATTTAATTTTTAAAATCATATGTATATATATATGTATTTGTACTGTAGAACAGTTCTTGTAGATAATTTTTATTTCAGAAAAACATGAAAGTTCAAATAGGTTTTAAAAAGTTACTTAAATATTTCTATAAAAGTCCATCAGTTCAGTAGTGAGCAACAAACATGTTTTTCTATGACCAGATAAGACTTCTCAAGAAGCTAGATCAAACAAAGCAGGTAGTCATCCAAATTCCTCCTAGGATCAGTTGCAGGTAATCATTCAACCATTTTTCCCCCATTTTTAAAGAAAGAAATGTATTTACATTAAAGGTCACTTTCTAAGAAAGAACCTAGTAATTCTCTTTGAGTATCAGTGTCCATAGGGCTTTTTAAGTCTTTTGGCTTCTTTTACTTACTCCTAATTCTTAGACCTTTGTGAATGGGTGATTCCAGTATTAAATAATTGACTTGTTCTTAACAATAATGTTGTTGCTTATGGTGCTATTTACTCTCTCTCCACACACCCCCCCCACGTGTACACACACACACACACACACACACACACACACACACACACACACACACACACACACACACACACACACACACACACACCCTACATTCTTGAGCTATTTTGTATAAGTATTATTTATTTAAACATAGTCTGGCTTAGGTTACTAAGCTGAATTAATGCGGACATTTACCCAACTACACCAAACGTCGTAAATGTCTCAAACTAAACTTGTTAGGAAGAATGTATCATTTTCATTACCACTATAAACCCTCATTCTCTGTCCCTCTAAATTTAAAAAAAAAAGAAAAAGAAAAGAAAAGTTTCTCTTCCTGGTATATGTTTATGACTTTATGACACTACTGTTAAGCAACTCAGGTCAAAACTAGGCTTTGATGTTAATACTTGTTGAATAAAGACTGAGCATTAAAGCTGGAATTCAAGGCTTATGGGACTGAACAAATGGCAGTATATAAAAATGTATTGTATAAAGGGTATTGTGTAGCAGTGCTTACCTAGCAAACACAAAGACCTGATTCAATCCCCAACAAAATAAGTAAAATAGTAAAGGCTACTAAGTGCTATTTGTTCAACTACTTGATGAAATTGGGATTAAGTCTGGAAGAAGCCTATGTTTATTTGAATATTGTATTATTCAAAAACTTTGGCTAACCAGTGTTTTAATTAAGAATATGTTGGACAGTTTTGTTTTAACTACTGGAGTTTCTTGGACTATTGCTTTGCTAGGCAGATACTGTACCACTTGAGCTATATGCCCAGCCCATTTTGTTTTTTTGAAAAATAGCAGTAGCACAAACCCCAGGATTTTCAAAGCAGTTCTTATTTTACAGTAAACCAAAAACCAAAGTACAGAAAAATGGCAAATAAGTTTAATAGCAAAAAGGGAAAGGGTCATTGGTTGGCCATATCCTTTCTTCTCATTCATCATCTCCAATCCCCAAATCCTTTCTACCCTCTTAAGTGTGAATATAGTCCTAGTTGGTTTGGTCAAAAACTGACCTTAGAAAACATCCTTCAAAGATGTTTACTATTGAAAAAGATAATAAAACTCAGCACCTCTTTCATTTAAGAAAATCACAAAACCAAAAACTTGGTTAAGAGAAAATTAAAATTCTTGTCGTTGCCTGGAGCGTAGATCTTAATCTTTCCATTTAAACAGATTAACTTCATATCCACAGTTGCCCATTTGGACTAAAACCAAACTGAGTCCATTACTCATTTCCTCTTCGGCTCTTCTTATGGCTTTTCTTAGACCTGAAATGGAATACATAGAAATCTTAAAGAAAATATAAGGAAGAATTACTATGACACCTAATACATTTGATGTGTAATTTTTTTATTTTTAATGATTCAGAGCAATACTCTGAGCCCAGGTATTACTATTCAAAATATACTACTAAGGAAATTACTTTAAAGGTTAAGAGTGCATCTAATACTGTATGATCCTAGATGTTTCTAATGCAAGTGACTTCTCCAAGGTCACACAACTATTGCATTTTAAAAGTTGGCTCTTAAAACCCAGATCCCCCTAGATCACATCTCATCCATTCTCCAAAGCTATAATCCTACCCCACCCCCCCAAAAAAATTTCAAAACAGAAACAATCCTATCAATGCCCAGGACAAAAAGCCTATTTTTGTCTTAAAGGATTTTCAATATCCCTATCAAAACAAGAAAGTTCAGGTCCAAGTTAGTTGTAAATAGGACTTTAATTTCTGAGAAAAGGTTTAAATTTATTTTTGCCGTGGTACTGAAGCTTGAACTCAGGGCTTTACATTCTCGTTTGGCTTTTTCACTCAAGAATGGTGCTCTACCAAATTAACTCACGTCTCTACTTGGGGCCTTTTGCTGGTTAGAAGAAGAAAAGAGTCTCACAGACTTTCCTGGCTGGGTTAGCTTTGAATCATAATCCTCATATTTCAGCTTCTTGAGTAGCTACAGTTACAGGTATGAGCCACCAGTGCCTGCTTTCAATTCTTAAAAGAGAGATCAAATCATACCTTTCAGGAGACTTTGAGTGGCTTCTATGTCTGTGGCTACGGTGATGACCTGGGGAAGAAAAAGTTATTTGATGAGTCAGAGCTATCTGAAATTTTCTCCTTCCCTACCAATCCTCCCTTTGGCTTTGTATTTTTTTGGCCTATGCTGTTGTTCCATCTCTGGTCGAGGTCACCTCACTATTTGGAATTTACTAATGAAACCCCATACACTCAGAACTTTATGACTAATTTCATAAACCCAGCACTGTTTTTTTCCCAAAGTTAAGCCGTATTCCTATAATATCAAATGAAAAAGTGAAACCCATCATATTCTCAGAGTGCTCTCTCTTTTTTTTTTTTTTTGCCAGTCGTGGGGCTTGAACTCTGGGCCTGGGAGAGCTATCCCTGAGCTCCTTTTGCTTAAGGCTAGCACTCTACCACTTGAACCACAGGACTACTTCTAGTTTTTAGGCAGTTAATTGGAGATCAGAGTCCCCTAGACTTTCCTGCCCAGGCTGGCTCAAAACACTCAGATCTCAGCTCCTTAGAAGATAGGATTAAAGGCATGAGCCACTGGTGCACAGCTCTACAGAACTCACGTCAGATGTGAACACTAATTTTCAAATTTTGTGTCCATCTCCTTTTTCTGTACTTCATTTCCTGTACTGAAGGAGGCTAACTCTTCCCCCTTATATTTCTTTGTTAAAACAAGCAGCAGCAAAAGGCCTAAATGCTATACCTGGAGATTTGGAACGGGATCTGTGCCTTCGATCTCGGGACCTGCTTCGGTGACGTCTTGGACTCTTGCTCCTATGCCTTTCTCGGCGGGGGGAGGGGCTGTGGAAAAGACTGATCATTCACCAGATCTATTTGGCAGTATATCATAATATTATATCCTCTCCCAGTAATGAATGATGGCCTACCTTCTTCTTTTGGGTGATCGACTCCGCCTACAGAGAAAGGAAAGACAGAGGAGAGCCTAGCTTAGTGCACTGGATGTTGTATGTTGTAAAAATGGTTCCAATTTTTTCTGGGGTGAGGATTTATCCCATTGGTCCTGATTGTTCCTCTTAACTTTTCTCTTATCCATGTCCTCTAACTGTAACTTTTTAGCACACTTACTCACTTTGGATTGACCATGTGGCCTGCAAAAGTGATACAAACAGATATTGGAAAAACACTTGCATGAAACAGCTAGCTCCTACTTCACTGTGTACCGAAGCCAAGCTTCTATCAATAACTACACATTTAGGAAGAACAACAAAAATAGTTTTTATGGTTGTTTTCTAAAGACTGGCATTTTTCCTTCCCTGAAATCAAACTCATAAGCTCTAATGGTTAGTTTCCCTGAAGGGGGCCAACTTGAACCTGACCTTCTAGGTGACCGACTCCTACTCCTCCTGTAGCGCAATGTAGGAGATCGCCGGGGCTTGTCCAGGTCTCGGTAACTTCTCCGGCGGTGATCAGGTGATGGTACTCTTTCCAGCTGGAAATAAGACAGATGGGTAAGCTAAAAACAGCAACTCAGTAACACACTTTACAGTCTTCTCTCTATCCTGTCCCAAGTGATTTTACAACATAGTGATTTGATTATATAGTGGAATAACCTTGACAAAACAAAACAAAAAACTACCAAGGTGGGGGAGGAGGATGGGAAGGGGAAACAAAGGAGGAGGTAACAATACTTGACAAGAAATGAACTCATTATCTTGTCCAAGTAATTGTAATCCCTCTGTACGGTATTTTCACAATAAAAAAAAAAACAAAAAACTACCAACAAATAAACGTTCCAATAATCTTTTATCATCCTAGTGTTGGTACTGTCATTCTGAGACATTCTGTAAGTACAGTAAGAAATTAAGTTATAGGGCTAGGAAGGTGGCTCAGTGGTAGAGCGCTTGCCTTGCATGCCTGAGGCCCTGGGTTCAATTCCTCAGCACCACATAAGCAAAAAGAAAAAAGCCGGAGGTGGTGCTGTGGCTCAAGTGGTAGAGTACTAGCCTTGAGCTGAAGAGCTGAGGGCCAGCGCCCAGGCCCAGAGTTCAGGCCCCACAACTGGACCAAAAAAAAAAAAAAAAAGAAATTAGTTATAAGCTGGGTGCTGGTGGCTCATGCCTGTAATCCTAGCTACTCAGGAGGCCGAGATCTGAAGACTGAGGGTCAAAGCCAGCCCGGACAGGAAAGTCCTTGAGGCTCTTATCTCCAATTAACCACCAGAGAACAGGAAGTGGCACTGTGGCTCAAGTGGTAGAGCACTTGCCTTGAGCTGAAGAGCTCAAGAACAGTGCCCAGGCCCAGAGTTCAAGACCATGACCAAAAAAAAAAAAAAAAAAAAAAAATCGTTATAATGCATATTTTAAGGTGAATTTCCAATGTTAAAAGCAAAAGCACATCAATAAGGCTAATCACAAAGTGACTGAATATGGTCCCTTGCATTGTTTTGGAAGAGGGTAGATTTAAGATGTTTTGTCTTTTGAGTATTTACCTAAAATCTCAAGAGTAATTGGTGCCAGGTGTTGTTGTAATCCTAATTACTAAGGAGACTGAGATCTGAGGATCACAATTTGAAGCCAGCCTAGGCAGAAAAGTGAGATTCTTTTTTTTTTTGGTTGTTGTGGGGCTTGAACTCTGGGCCTGGGCACTATCGTTCTGCTCTTTAGCTCAAGGCGAGTGCTCTATCACTTCAGAAACAGTGCCACTTCTGGTTTTTCTGAGTGGTTTACTGGAGATAAGAGTCTCAAGGACTTTCCCGCCCAGACTGACTTTGAACCATGATCCTCAGATATCAGCCTCGGAGTAGCTAGGATTACAGGCGTGAGCCACTGGTGCCTGGCTATGAGATTCTTATTTCCAATTAACCACCAGAAAATGAAGTGGTGATGTGGTTCAAAGTGGTAGAGCACTAGCCTTGAGTGGAAAAGCTCAGGGACGATACTTAGCACCTGAGTTCAAGCCTCACAACTGACCAAATTTTTTTTTTTTAAAGAGTAATTGGTAATGAGTATAAGTGTAAATTCTTAAAAAAGACGAACAGAGGGGAAAAAACAATAGTTAGGGATGTAAGAATAGAAGGAGCATGATAAATAGGTATGAAAAAGAACCATGTTACAATTACGTAAATCTCAGTGTCCTAGCTCAGCAGTAGGAAACTGCTTGTCAGGGTGGGTGAAAATATATATGAAAATGAACACATTCCTTTAAAAAATAGTGAATGGGAGAGGCTGTGTTGAGTTAATCCCAGAACCCAAAGAAAAAACAAGAACATTAAGATCATACCTCTCGACTTATGAATTAAGGATTATTGGACTCTAAAGCTCATACTTAAAAAACTTTTTTTTTGGGGTCCGGTTGTGGGGCCGGAACTTTGGGCTTGGGCGCTGTCCCTCAGCTCTTCAGCTCAAGGCTAGCGCTCTACCACTTGATCCACAGCGCCACTTCTGGCTTTTTTCTTTTTGCTTATGTGGTGCTGAGGAATCGAACCCAGGACCTCATGCATGCAAGGCAAGCATTCTACCACTGAGCCACCTTCCCAGCCCCCTTAAAAAACTTTTTAAAAGTATTTTTGTTGTTCAAGTTGAAAAACAAACCTGGAAGCAGAAACAAAAGATAACCATTCCCAACCTCCTCCACCTTTATACTCTCAGGTGCCTCACCTTCTCATCTTCTTCTTCTTCCTCTTCACTGGACTCCACATCATCCATGTCTTCTTCTAGAGCACTAACTCGAGGTTCTAGTTGCTCAGCTTCCTCTAGCACATAGCGTTTCTAAAGAGAACATAATGAATTTAGGGTTCCTTTCTATCTCTTTTACATCCTGAAGCCCCAATACTAGACTTCTGGGACTGACAGAAAAGCCAAGTTCAAGATAAGAGTCCAATTTGAGCTAGGCACTGGTGGCTCACATCTGCAATCCTAGCTACTCAGAAGGCTGAGATCTAAGAACTATGGTTTGGCCAGGCACCGGTGGCTCACGCCTGTAATCCTAGCTACTCAGGAGGCTGAGATCTGAGGATTGCGGTTCAAAGCCAGCCCTAGCAGGAAAGGCCGTGAAACTCTTTATCTCAATAAACCACCAAAAAACCAGAAGTGGTGCTATAGCTCAAGTGGTAGAGCACTCGCCTTGAGGTGAAGAGCTGAGGGGCAGCGCAAAGGCCCAGAGTTCCTCACAGTGGGCAAAAAAAAAAAAAAAAAAAAAATTGTGGTTTGAAGGCAGTCTAGGCATACACCAAAAAAAGTCTTAGTCTGCCCAAGCTGTCTTCAAATTGCTATTCTCAGATCTCAGCCTCCTGAGTAGCTAGGATTATAGGCATGAGCCACCAGCACCCAATTCCACTTATGAAGATTTTTTTCATTCACCATAATTACTCTGTAGTTCATCTGTTACTATATTTAATTTTTATTTCTGAGTAGTATACCATTGTCAGTATATGTCACAGTATTTTCATCTATTCACACTTACAGATGAACATATGGTTTCCGGTTTCCGGGCAATAAAAAGTAAACTGTTAGGGCTGAGAATGTGGCTTAGTGGTAAAGTGCTTATCTAGCATGCATGAAGCCCTGGGTTCAATTGCTCAGTACCACATAAACAGAAAAAGTGAAGTGGCACCGTGGCTCAAGTGGTAGAGCTCTAGCCTTGAGCATGCATAGGTTCAGGGACAGTGCCCAGGCCCGGAGCTCAAGCCCCACAACCAACAAAAAACAAATAACTTTTAGAATGTCATGTTGATGCTCAAAATGTTTTAGGTTTTGGAATATTTCAAATTAAGGAAGTTTAACCAGTGAATTCTATGTAAATCAAATACAATCTTGTGATTATTTTCCCATTTTTTTTATTGTCAAAAGTTTATCAATCACAAGGAACTTGTTAGAAATTCTTCAGTCTTTGCATTCATATTTAAGTCTATGATTCCCTTTAAGTACTTTTTACTTGAAATAGTGTGAACAGAGAGCAGAGGTTCACTTGTATGCATATGGACACTAAATTGTTCCTGCACCAGTGTAGGAGAGACTGTCACTTCTCAATAGTATTGCCCTCACATATCTTTAGAAAACCAATGTCTGTGTATGCAAACGTTTATTTTAGGCTCCTTAATTTTATTCCACTGATGCTTTTTTTGCTTTTTGTGCCAGTCCTAGGGCTTGACCTGAACTTTTCTGCTCCAGGTTAGCACAGTACCACTTCACACAGCTTTAGTTTTGGCTTTTGGGTGGTTAACAGGAGAAAAGAACCACTTTACTGCTCAGGCTGGGTTCGAACTGTGATCCTCAGATCTTAGCTTCCTGAGTAGGTAAGATTAAAGGCATAAGCCACCAGTGCCCAGCAAGATAGCTGATTTTTGCATACTGATCTCAGATCTGTATAAACAGATAAATTGTTACCCAAACTGTGATGTTTGCACACAATGAAGAACTGTCCAGCAATAAAATGTAGTCATAAATAAGCCAAGTAAAAAAAGACCAAAAAAAAAATGCTTAATTTCAGAATGCAACCTAATCTTACCTGTTTTATAGCCTTACCTTTTTTTTTTTTTGGGGGGGGGGGGGGGGTCTGGTCGTGGGGCCTGAACTCTGGGCCTGGGCGCTGTCCCTCAGCTCTTCAGCTCAAGGCTAGCGCTCTACCACTTGAGCCACAGCGCCACTTCCGGCTTTTTTCTTTTTGCTTAGGTGGTGTTGAGGAATAAAACCCAGGGCCTCAGGCATGCAAGGCAAGCGCTTTACCACTGAGCCACCTTCCCAGCCCCTAGCCTTACTCTTTATAGGCATAACAATTTGGAAAAAAATCTCACAAAGTTTAGAAACCTCTACTCTAGCTATGGTAGCCTTGCTATAACATATCAGAAAAGAAAAATTTCCTATTTTAACTATTCATCCTTAAAACTCTATCCTCAGGTATTTTATCTGCTTTCCTCTCTTCCTCTATCACTTTTATTTTTTATTTTTTTTTGGGGGGGGGAGTAGTTGAATATGACCAGTGCCTCATACTCATGAGGCAGGCACTATACCATTTGAACCACACAGCCAGACCCGTTTTATGTTGGGTATTTCAAGACAGCATCTCACTTTATGCTCAAACCAGCCTAGAGTGTAATCCTCCTATTTGTGCTTCCCTTTGTCACTAGGGTAGCAGGCACATATCAACATTCTAGCCATTGATTGAGATGGGAGTTTTACAAACTTTATGCTTTATGCCCTGCCCAGTCTTGAACCATAATCTACTGACCTCTACGTTCCAAGTAGTTAGTATTGCAGGTTTGAGGCACTGGGCTGGACTTCTCTATCATTTTCATAGATAAAAAGTACTTATTAAGACAATTTGTAAGAGTCATAGCTTTAATGTTATATATATCTGGGTTTGTCTCTCTTATTTCCATCATTTTCATAGATAAAAAGTACTTATTAAGACAATTTGTAAGAGTCATAGCTTTAATGTTATATATATCTGGGTTTGTCTCTCTTATTTCCATCATGGAGAGAAAGGGTGACCCCCAACAATAAACCTTGTATCTTACCTGGAGCCGGGGAAGAATAATATCGCAGACTCTCTCACTGTGCAGTAATTCATCAATGAACTCATCTACATGCATCAGTTCAAATTCTGAAAAAAAAAATCAGTAACTCAAGCAACCTGAAAATAACGTATTAGGTAACAAAAAAGAAAAACAATTGGAAGACTTTATATGAGGCCATCTACAGTCTGGGCTTAGAAGCAAAGACTTAGGGATGAATGAAGCTGTCATAAGGTACAACAGTCCAGATTATGTATGGGTAATCTTGTAACTCAAGGTAATTTTAACAGATCCTATAATTGTCACATAACTTATCACATGAACTCACAATGTTTCTGAATATAGAACACTTACCTTTTTTGACACATTGTCAGCTTTAAAAAACTTCCATAGTATTTATCATCTTAGTTTAGTGGGTTTTCAACTTCAACCAATTTTGTACCCTTCTTACAGAAAGTGCTATCTGTAACTGATGGAGAGTGGCCAGGGATGCTGCTAAATATTCTACAATGACAAGACAACCCACATAGCAAAAAGCTATCAGGACCACAATATCAACATATTGAGAAATCCTATTTTGTTTTTATATGACAATCCTAAGTAACTCCAAATGACAATGTTCGTATCCATCTTGTTCACCATGGTATTTCCATTATACAAGTCCTAGCCTACCAATGGCACTTAATATGTATTTATTCAATAAATTAAGATTCCAAATTTCAAAAAACTCTGAAATCTGAAACATTATAGTCCCAAGGAATACTCAAGCTATATCAAATTTTTAATCTTCTATTAAAGGTACATGTAGAGGGGAAAGGCAACTATCACTTTCTTGTTACAACATGGAGAAAAAGTTTTGATTACATAATCCCAAATTCATCCTTAGCATAAAAGTGTCTCTTTATGAATTAAAAAAATGTATCATTAGATTTTAAGTGACATTCTTACATTTAGTCTATACTCTGCAGTACGGAATACAGTTCTAGACAAGAGGCCAGTAGAAAAAAAATGTGACAAGCTAGGTGCTGGTGGCTCAAACCTTTAATCCTGGCTACATAGGAGGCTGAGATCTGAGGATTGCAGTTTGAAGTCAGCTGGACAGGGAAGTCTATGATACTCTTATCTCCAATAAACTATTCAGAAAAAGCTGGAAGTGGCATTGTGGTTCAAGTGATAGAGCACTAGCCTGAGCAAAAGAATCTTGGAGACAGTGCACAGACCAAGAGTTCCTGGACTGGCAAAAAAAGAAAAAAAGAAATAACTGATGATGTAATATTTGGATGGGTTATAGTAGTACTCTGGATCTACAGTTTGTGGGATGGAACATGTGTAGAAGATGCACATGATACCAGGCAATGATTAAGATAAAATACAGTTGGAAAGTGTAGCAACCAGGGGCTAATTGGATATAGTCAACCAGAAACTAACACTGGAGCTAATATTCTCTGAGAGAGAGGTAAGAAACTACATTAACGCAGATGAAGAGCAACATGCCTTTTATGTTATAATCTGAGAGTTGAGACACTGATGCCAAGAAAAATTCACTTAGGAAGAATAGTCCAGAGATCTGGCATCATACTCACCTCCATTTCGATTCTGGCTCTTGATTTTCCGATAGTCATTGTACAAAGGCTCCAAATACTTGTAGCAATCAATTGCGGTGCCTGTCAGCCTCATGTAAAGTGCCCCCAACATGCGGACATACCTGACAGAGAAATGACAGTAAAATGATAGACCTTCCTAAGAAATTTCTATGTTTTACAATTTGTTTTTCTTATTATAGCAACTGAATAATGTATTGTTCCTTCTTGATAGACAAAAACGCTGCAATTTGAATAAAAGAATAAAAGATAGCTAAGATATGGAATCCTGAATTGAAGTTCCTATTCTATCAAATATTAGCTGTGGAAATTTGGTACATGGTACTCAACTTTCAAATATATCACCTGTAAAGTTTAATTCAGAAGATTATATTAAGAAATAAATGAGATGCTGGCTGTGTCTGTGCGCACGCACACACGCGCACTCACACGTGAAGACACACATGCCTATCCCTGGGCTCAAACTTAGGGCCTGGGCGCTGTCCCTGAGCTTCTATGCTCAAGGATAGTGCTCTACCAATTGAACCACAGCACCATTTCTGTTTTTTTTTTTTTTTTTTTTTATTCTTGTATCTTAATTAGAAATTTACTACAGGATGGCTTCAAACCATAATCCTTGGATCTCAGCCTCCCTTGTAGTTAGGATTACTACCAAGTGTGAACTACCAGCACTAGCAAGATACTGATTATAACAGAAGGTATAACACATATTTAATAACTATACCAGAACAAGTACAGATAGCCACTCCTGTGGGTTCTGAAAATTCTGATTCTATAATTTACAGTGATAATGAGCAAGTTACTTATCAATCTTTATAAAATGATGCTACCTAATTACTGGCTTAGTGTATGAAATAGCAAATGTAAGGAAAAATAAAATACTATGCATAGTATGTAGTGCCTATTAAGTACCTATCAAAGCTATTTCCCATCAGCTTTTTCTAAGATTCCTTCTTTTTCTCTTATCTCCTATATCTAGCTACTTACTCAAATCTTCATTTGGACACTTCTTCACAAAGAAACTTTGCGTTTCTTTGTGTGAGGAACAAAGTAATATAGCAAAGAATATAGGATCTAAAGGAAAGTTTGATCCTCTAGTTTTGGTGGCAGTCCTAGAGATTAAACTCAACTTCAGGGCTGGTAGGCAAATGTAAAATAGGAACTGAGCTGGGCACGGTGGCTCAGGCCTATAATCCTAGCTACTGAGGAGGCTGAGATCTACTAAGAACCACAGTTTGAAGCCAGCCCTGGGCAAGAAAGTAGTGAGACTCTTATCTCCCAGAAAACCGGAAGTGGCACTGTGACTCAAGGGGTGGAGTGCTTGCCTTGAGTTGAATTGCTCAGGGACAGTACTCAGGCCAGAGTTCAAACCTCATAACTGACCAAAAAAAAAAAAAAAAGGATTTAAGTGCTAGTGTAAAAATGAAAGCCAAATGCTGCTGGCTCATACCTGTAATCCTAACTACTCTGGAGGAGATCTGAGGATCGTGGTTCAAAGCCAGCCCAGGCAGAAAAGTCCCTGAGACTCTTATGTCCAATAAACCATTCAGAAAACCAGAAGTAGTGCTGTGTCTCAAGTGGTAGAGTGCTCACCTTGAGCTGAAGAGCTCAGGGACAGTTGCCCAGGCCCAGAGTTCAAGCCCCATGACCAAAAAAAAAAAGAAAGAAATGAATTACTATATGTAAAGTCCTTACAACACAGTATGGCACAAGATCAGCATGTGTGTACGCACGCATGTGCGCACACATACATTTTATATGTTTGTATGTGTATATGTATATTTGTATGTGCCAGTAATGGGACTTGAAATTGGGGTCTTATGCTCTCAGCTTTTCACTCTCAGCTGATACTCTACCACCACTTGAGTCACACCCTCAGTTCCAAGACCAGCTATTATATCTGTTCTCACATCTGTCTTCTGAGTTTCTTGATGAAGGACGATAGTTTTTTATGTTTGCCATGTAATGAATGGGCACTGTTTTGATGTGCATGCACTCCCTTCTTTAACTTATATATCTTTAACTGAGTAGGAATTACTCTCCCTGTCCTGTTTTACAGGTAAAATAACACAAAACTAAGGAACTTTTTTTTTTTTGGTGGTCTTGGGGCTTGAACTCTGGGCCTGAGAGCTGTCCCTGAGCTCTTCAGCTCAAGGCGAGCACTCTACCACTTGAGCTACAGTGCCACTTCTGGTTTTCTGGTGGTTTATTGGAGATAAGAGCTTCACAGATTTTCCTGCTGGGCTGGCTTTGAACCGAGATCCTCAAATCTTAGTCTCCTGAGTAGCTAGGATTACAGGGGTGAGACACCAGTGTCCAGCCACTAAGGAACTTCTTAAGGTCACAGGTCATGAGTAATAAAATTCTAGACATGAATATAAATTTAACATGTTAACTACCACCTTATACTGTTTTCTTCACCGCTCAGTATCCATTGTCTACCAACATATTAGGCACTCCTTCTGCTTAACTGTATATACAATAAGCCTGCCTCATTTGTGGAGTAACTATACAAGTCTTTGCCAACTGCAGTTAAAACAACAAACCAACAACATCCTAAGAAATTTCAAAAACAAAAATACTTTGTGGAGGGAAAAAGTTAATAAGGTGGAGAGAAGAAATTCAAAGGGGAATACAATCAGAACAAGTAAGTAATTCAAGGACTGAACAGCAAAAACCTACATGGGGGAGCTCTGTGGAAATGAGATACATTGAGTGCACCCCTCTTTTTTTGGTCAGTCCTAGGGCTTGAACTCTGGGCCTGGGTGCTGCCCCTCAGCTCTTCAGCTCAAGGCTAGTGCTCCACCACTTGAGCCACAGTGCCACTTCCTGTTTTCTGGTGGTTAATTGGAAATAAGACTTTACTGACTGGGCTGGCTTTGAACTGTGATCCTCAGATCTCCTGAATAGCTAGGATTATAGGTGTAAGCCACTAGCGCCCAGCTGAATGCACCCCTCTGAAAGCCCAATTCTGAACCACAAAAACTTAAACTTTATAACAATTAACATTTCACTCACTTGAAATCTTCATTTTTAATAAATTCAACAATGATATCCTTCTCAGGTTGAATCTGAAGCATCTTCAAGGTTAAACACAGAAAGGGAGTTGGTTTTATGTTTCCACCATAGACACCACCAACAAACCTCAACTCCATGGCTTTATCCACAACAAGTTCAGCTAAAGAAATAAAAACAGTATGTCATGTCAGACATAATTTTCTTGGTTGGAAGTGGGGAAATCTGAAGATATGGAGATCCTAAGTAGTCAATAGGAGTTCAATATTAGAAGAAGTGCACGTCCATGCAATAATGATAATAGCTAATATAGACTGAAAGATTACTACATGCTGGTAAGTATTTAATATTACTTATTCCTTACAACAAATCGCTGCAAATTCCATGTAAGAAAAAAAAAAAGACTACGAAAAGTTAAGTGATTTACTTGCGCAAGGTCCACAGCCTGAGTATCATACATTTAATACTAGAATCTGAACACAAGATGGGAAGACTTCCTAAAAGGCTTCTCTCAAGCACCGGAACGTGGGAATATTGGAACTGCCAGATTATGGACAGTATGAATTTGGTTATGAGCCAGCTAATTTTCTGTTGCTCGAGTTGGTTGTCTCTTACAGGATTTCTTAACACTGGAACCCAAGCAGGCAACCAATATATATGAAACGACTCAAAGAACCTAAATGAGACGTTCTATCAGACTCATGAATCCCCAATGCTCCACACCAGTCTAGGCACACAGTAGGCGCTCAGTTTTTCTGAATGACTGACATGCTCCGTTCCAGTAAGAAGGAGCCCTAGGTGTTGGTCCTATGCGTACCGAGTGCGGGGAGAAAAGGGCCACACGGCAGCCGAGGTGAGGCCCGCGCCATCTTCCTCACCTGTAAGCCCAAAGCACTCTTCTTTCCAATACTTGGACTCGTAGATTCGCGTCCGAATGATCTTCTCTACCAGATATTGAGGGTTGGTACCATGGATGCTATGTGCATCCTTCACCGTACGGTTCGCCATTTTAGAACGCTTTCAGACCTACTTCCGTCGACTCCTTTACTGCGTCACACACAAGTTAAAGAAAAAAAAAATATATATATATATATGTCTCCTGAGGGAGAAAGGGAAAAAATCTACCCTGCTTAGGCGGCCATCTTGGAACCGGAAGCTGCTGCTTGGAACTTCCGTGAGTTGCGCGCCGAGCGAATCAATGCTGGTCGAGGCACGTTGCCGGAAGTAGGTGAAGCGCCCTTGGGTAGGCGGGGCGAGCTTGGTGATGACGCCACACGGAGGCAGCCTGGGGGCGGGGTTACGCCGTTTGGCGCGAAATTTTCTTTCCTGTCTTTCCTTGCGGTTCGGCGCCTGGGAACGGCTGTGGCTGTGGCGTGCTAAAAGGACGACTGCTAGGGCAAGTTAGAGTTGCTGCAGCCCCTGGAGCTCCCGAGGCGGTGGCAGTGGGAAGCGGAGGCTTGCAGCCAGCGTAAGGAAACTTTGGCGCCCGGTGAGTGCGGCGGCCCGCGGGGCTGGACTGGGGCGTGAGCCTCGAGCTGAGGAGGCTCCCCACAAATTCAGCCACTGATTCACGCAGCACTCATGCACCGAGCGCCCGCGGGGTGCCAGGCCGTTAGGAGAGGTCCTTGCTCCCACCTCCTGGTGCCTTAAAGACGGCCGGGTCTGCCCCGGACTGGGAGTGCGCTCCTGGGAAGGAAGGCTTTATCTGCTTTCAACGCCCTTCCTCCCCCACCCTCTCTGCCTTGGTCTGTAGCCTTTCCTCCCGTCTGCCCGCCCTTGAAAAAAGCACTCGTAATCCTATCCTCCTTAGCTGTAATGCTTCCACCGCTGCTGGGCAGGTGTAATCAATTCATTTTAATAAGATTGTAATTCATTTTGGTAACCATTGAGCCCCGAGAAGAGTCTGGCCGAGGTGTCTAAGCCTCCCAGGGCTTCTGGGCTGCCCTCTACCTTTTCGCTTCCTCTGGTTCAACCCAAAACAAGGGCAAAAAACCCCCCGCTGAACCTAAAGGAATAAGATTCGAGACTCATATCCTGACCTACTATTTGTTAAACTGCAGCGGTTAGCTTTAATTTTAGTAGTCTGTAAAACATGAATAAAAAGATACGCTCTTTTTTGTTAGGTGGTTTGTGAATGGAATTTCTAACACGGCATGATTTATCAAACTTCTCTGAAATTTTTTTTTGGGGGGGGTCCGGTTGTGGGGCCTGAACTCTGGGCCTGGGCGCTATCCCTCAGCTCTTCAGCTCAAGGCTAGCACTCTACCACTTGAGCCACAGCGCCACTTCCGGCTTTTTTCTTTTTGCTTATATGGTGCTGAGGAATCGAACCCAAGGCCTCATGCAATGTAAGTGCTCCAGCACTGAGCCACCTTCCCAGCCCCTCTGCAGTGGTTTTTAAAATGTAATAGAGGACACTTTACTTAAAAATTGCATAGAACTGGGCCGGGAATGTGGCTTAGTGGTAGAGTGCTTGCCTAGCATGCATGAAACCCTGGCTTTAATTCCTCAGTACCACCTCAACAGAAAAAGCTGGAAGTGACTCTGTGGGTAGAGTGCCAGCCTTGAGCAAAAAAAGAAGCTTAGGGACAGTACCCAGGCCCTGAGTTCAAGCCCAAGGACTGGCGAAATAAATTAATTAATTAATTTAAAAAAACATAAAACCACCAAACTTTACAAGTGAATGTAAGGAAATGGGGAATGGATTTACTATTTTTGCATTTTCTCACTTATCATTAATAAACCTGGAAATAGTGCACACAATACATACTTAATAATATTGCCTGAATAAGATGGCAATTCAATTATATCTCCTTTTTTTTTTTTTTTTTTGGTTTTGGTTTGCTGGTTGTGGAGCTTGAACTCTGGGCCTGGGCACTGTTCTGAGCTCTTCAGCTCAAGGCTAGCGCTCTACCACTTGAGCCATAGCACCCACTTCCAGCTTTTTCTGTGTATGTGGTGCTGAGGAATGGAACCCAGGGCCTCATGCATGCAAGTCAAGAACTCTACCACTGAGCCACCTTCCCAGCCCTATATCTCCATTTTGTGCGTAAGGAAATTAATGCCCAGTGGACTTCTTAATGGCTGTAAACCTCACTTATTGTAATAAACTATCAGAAATAAACTCAGAAGTAATATCCAACTTCACACAGTATGTTGGAAGGTGAAGTTAGTAAGAGGACAGCTAGCTGTTCAGGATTTGAGTTAAATTTGTGCCATCTTTTGTAAAAACCGGACAAGTTTATCACCTTAAAGTGATAACATTTGCCCCTTAACAAATATTTCAATAATGAACACTTCCTATATACTTCTGATGGTTGGATATTGCTTTAGGATTTTTGTAAAATTGAGTGAGATAAATGTCAAGAATTTTGACTCAGCTTTCTCATACTGGCCTTTCATTTTTTTAGAACTCTTATCTGTTGGTCCTGGACGTGGCTCCTAGGCTGCATTGTGTGCATATTCTACATTTCTGAAATTTGTGATCTCAAGAATCTTTAGTGGAGATCTCTTAGAAACCATAGGCCAATTCTACTAGTCTTTTCACCATTCTTTTTGGGAAGTCTCTGCACTGAGAGTGGATGAGATGAAATGATGGGTGCAAGGCAAGAAAGAACAAAGCGTTCATTGAGTTCTATATTTATCACATGCACTCTCCTATATATATGTCATTCTCTGAGGAAAAGTTCAAAAAATTAATCAGGAGTGCTGAAGATGCTACATAGGTAAAGCATAACATTATCAGGCCTTTATTTATTTATTTATTTTGGGTCCGGTCGTTGGGGCCTTAACTCTGGGCTTGGGCACTGTCCCTCAGCTCTTCAGCTCAAGGCTAGTGCTCTACCACTTGAGCCACAGTGCCACTTTCGGCTTTTTTCTTTTTGCTTATCTGGTGCTGAGGAATCGAACCCAGGGCCTCAGGCATGCAAGGCAAGCGCTCTACCACTGAGCCACCTTCCCAGCCCTGTAAGGCCTTTTATACTTTTGGTTCCTAACTTCAGTTTAATAGTATTTTGAGAGATTGTTTCACATTTTGTGTTAATCTGCTTTTCATCATTGTGACATAATTCCTGAAATAACTTAAAAAGAAAATGATTTAATTTGGCTCATAGTTTCAAACATTTCAGTCCAAGATCACTTGACCTGTCACTTTAGGCCTGAGGTAAGGCCAAACATTAGGGCAAGGAGCATGTGGTAGCATCAGCTGGCAATCAGAGCTTTGGAGGTCCTACTTTGGGGGCAGGTGCTTTAAGCTACATTGCTCTATAGTGCTGATAAAATATTCCTGGTTCTTGTCTTTTTATTGCAGATTTGTATTTCTGATAGAATTGCTATGTCATAGCACATGTTAATTTGTTTTTAAAAATGTGTTCAGGTGGCTCATGCTTGTAATACTAGGTACTCAGTTCAAAGCCAGCCTGAGCAGGAAAGTCTGAAAGACTTAAAAAAAATTTTTTTTTTTTTGTTTTGTTTTTGGGTCCGGTAGTGGGCCTAAACTCTGGGCCTGGGCGCTGTCCCTCAGCTCTTCAGCTCAAGGCTAGTGCTCTACCACCTGAGCCACAGCGCCACTTCCGGCTTTTTTCTTTTTGCTTATGTGGTGCTGGGGAATCGAACCCAGGGCCTCAAGCATGCAAGGCAAGCGCTCTACCACTGAGCCACCTTCCCAGCCCCCCAAAATTTTTTTTTCTTGTTTTTTATTTTGCCACTTTTGGCTTTTTCTGTTTATTTGGTACTGAGGAATCGAACCCAGGGCTTCATGCATGCTAGGCAAGCACTCTACCACTAAGCTACCTTCCCAGCCAAGTCTGAGAGAGACTCTTATCTCCAATTAACCACCAAAAAAGCTATAAGTAGAGCTGTGACTCAAGTGGTAGAGGCCTGGCCTTGAGCACAAATGCTCAGGGATAGCACCTATATTTTAAGTTCAAGCCCAAGAACGGGCACACACACACAAAGCTGAGCTCATTGAAGGAAGGAACTGACTGTATATTAATCTCTATCAGAGTCATTGCTATAGAAATTGAATTAAGCCTTTTTCACAGGAACCATGACACCATACTCCACAAGGCAGAAGACCAGACAAATATACTCATGGGTTGGCAGGCCATTGTTTGATCGACAGCTTCACTACCAAACCTACAAGTGAGTGACAGGGCCCTTTGGTTGGGCTTGGAATACAGCTTCTCTAGCTAAACTGTTAGGAAAAGGTATCTAGATAGTTTAAGTTAATGTAGATTGAGGACTGAAGGACAGTAGACGTGCACTGATTATAAGAACACGGTAGCATAAATAGTCATGGGGCTGAGTTGAAGCCGGATGATTATGTCATCTACTTAAGAAGAATTCTGAATAACTTCATGGAGACAATAAGAGATATTGTTACTATGACCTCAGCTCAACATTTTTAATGTTATTGGGCAGCTTTTATAGTTCATATTAAGGTCTGTAGATAATCACTCATGCTAAAATAATGTATTTAGTCTATGTTGTCTGCTTTTGGTTTCTTAGTAGGAGAGTTGGTTAGTGTGAAGAAACTAGGGAACTTTCTGGTTTAAGAACACCTTGCTCTGTATTCAGGGAGGATTTAAAGAACTTTTTCCACCCCAAGAATTTCCTAACATATTTCTGGTTTACTTTCTAGAGAAATAAGTATGAAAACAAGAAGTTGTCCCACTGAGATTCACATCCAGGTTGGACAGTTTGTGTTGATTGAAGGAGATGATGACGAAAAACCTTATGTTGCTAAGTTGATTGAGTTGTTTGAAGACGGTGAGTTTGGGGCTGAAATGAAAGCCATTCCTTACTAGAAATAATTGGGATGCGGCAGGGAGAAAAGGCTACTGTATGTTCACATTCAGGACATTCTAATTATCACTAGCTATTACCTCCTTCATCCAGAAACTTCTTTACTTATTGGAGCAATAGTGGGTAAAATAATTTAGGTTTTCTACTATTTTTAGTAGTGGGTAAGAATAGCTATTAAGGCAGGACTTGGGAAATGAAGAGAGAGAATGAGTTTAAGAAGAGAAAAAAATTAGTGATTTTCAGCATGAAAGGTGTTCTTTAATTTACATGAAGAAGTAAAATTGCAAAAACTATTTTACAAGGGAGGAGAGAAATTGGATTAGGAAGATATATCATTTGGTGTTCAGTTAGGAAAACAAGTGTCTTAGTTTTACTCAGAGGAGGGAAACTTGTATATAGTCTTGGGAAGACAGCCATTAATACAGTGCCTAGCATTTAGGAGGCTGAGGCAATATGTAACTTAGTCTATATGGTGAAAAGGAAGAAAAGGCAGTGTTTCCTAGATCAGTAAGTACAGGAAACCATGACTGCTCCAAGAACAGAGAAAACTAAAGGGAAGATGTCTCAACTCAGTGCTTACAAGCTCCCACTCAGCTTCTTCCAGGGTGCTGAACTGTAGAGGGCACAGTAGCCCTCTGCAAATGAAGAGAGCACACAGGAAGGTGGGATTGGGGTAGAGCTCTGAAGAAAGAGGAATTTAAAGCTAAACCAAGGTACCTCTCCCTAAGGACCCAGGAGAGGAATGGCCAGTTATATAGATGATCCTGTGGCACTTTCTTTTTTTATTTTTATTTTTTATTGTGAAAATACCATACAGAGGGATTACAATTACATGGGCAAGATAGTGAGTACATTTCTTATCAAGCATTGTTGCCTCCTCCTTTGTTTCCCTATACCATCCCTTCCCCTCTCCACTCCCACCCCCCCGCCCCCCTACCACCCCTCACCCTGCCAAAGTTGTAAAGTTCATTTTTCAACATAAAGTCTTACACACCTCATTGTTGTAATGGATCCACCTGTAACCCTGTTTAAACCCTTTGTTTATTCCCTTCCCCTCCACAAATTATATCAATATCAAATACAGTGAAAGCAGGGCTTATACCCTGGGGGAGGTACATACAACAAAGAAATCATCTTATAAATATGTTGGAAACAATTACAAGAAAGATAAAAAAAATTGAACCCTTATCTTAGGGCTCATTTCACCTAACATAAACTTGTCTGACAGTTTCTGTTTGTCTCAGACATATACTAGTTATTGCAAATAAGGGAAACCATGGGACCTATATTTCTTTGGGCCTGGCTTACTTTTTTAAACTATTGTTTACAATGTTCATCTTTTCTTACAGAATATATGTTTAGCAACTAGACCCAGAACTTTTAATACTGACATCTAATACTATAGCTACTCCTTGTTATGCTGTTTTTGTCATAAATTGTGTAGGAATATGTCTGGTAAAAATTAATGCATAATTAGAACTAAGCCAAGTAATATTTGAATTGTCACAATATTTCTCCAGTTCCTCTAGCTTCCTATGTCAACACTTGGATGTACCCTAGTTATGTATAATCACATATTTAGTCAGAGGGTATATTTAAAGAGATCATTCTTCTAAGTGATTCTGGATTATTCGTGTGAAAGAGACAGAGAGTGCCCAATTTGAGACAAGTTGGAATTGAGATTAGGAAAATGATTCAGGGAACAGCTGCTATGTTAAGAAAATCAGGGTGCCGGGCGCTGGTGGCTCACGCCTGTAATCCTAGCTACTCAGGAGGCTGAGATCTGAGGATCGCGGTTCAAAGCCAGCCCGGGCAGGAGAGACCGTGAGACTCCTATCTCTAATAAACCACCAGAAAACCGGAAGTGGCGCTGTAGCTCAAGTGGTAGAGCGCTTACCTTGAGCTGAAGAGCTGAGGGACAGCGCCCAGGCCCAGAGTTCAAGCCCTACGACCGACAAAAAAAAAAAAAAAAAAGAAAATCAGGGTAAGAAAAAAGAATTCTCAATATATTTTCACTAAAATGCATTTATCTCTGAGAAACCGAGTAAAGAAGTGAAGTATTTTAATTAGTTTTTTCCCCCACATGAATTGTGATACACCTTACAGTGTTTAGGTCTCTTGGGGCCTTTGTATCATTCCGGCTACACACACACACACACACACACACACACACACACACACACACACACACACACACACACACACACACACACACACACACACACACACACACACACACACACACACACACACACACACACACACACACACACACACACACACACACGTGCATGTACACACACAAGCACGCATATGCACATACAAACACAGGAACTTTATGATAAACACAATTTTTTTAAGAAAATGGTTTGTGATTCCTTGGCATACAATTACTAAGTAATAAAAATTTCTCTCATCCTTTATCCTGTGGCACTTTCTGTGCCTAACATGAAGACTAGGTGAGCTGAATTGATAAAGGTCTTTTATGTTATACAATTAGAAAGGGATATTTGACCAGGATGGAGAGAAACCTCTTCAAACTAATATCCACTAGGTGGAGCACTACAGCAGATATGTGGACCTAGTGTACAGATTTCAGATTCCTTGTGGTTCTGTACTGGGTGGCTTCCCTCTCTTGAGAGAAGATAAAGATGGTAATGATGGTACTATGGAGTGTTTATCTTTTCATTTGGAGTTATTAATGATATGAATAATATTTAAATGATTATATGAATTATAGTAAAGCTGAAGATTACAAGTGTAGGTTTGCCTGAATCATATCAATAGTTGCTGCTAGAATTCTTGCCAGGATGTCTTCTTTTTTTTTTTTTTTTTTTTTTTTTGCCTGCTGTCTTTGTAATCATTAACTTGCAAATTTTGTCCATTGATGATTTGTTAAGTACCTGTGATTGGACAGCATCTCACACACCTTTCTCATAATTCCTTTGTCCCTTGATAAAACCATTAAGAAGCGAAGCAACAGGAGAAGAGGGTGGTTGGAGGGTAGAGTCAGATTGTTGCTGCTTGGTCCTTTGACATTTGAAAAATTATCAGAAGTTCTTGGGGGAAAAAAAAAGCCATAGTCCCAGTACCTAGGGTTATGAAAATTAAAGGTAATACATATTGAGGCCTTGGTACAGTGTCTGGTACACCAGAAGTGCTTAACAGAATGTCCTCATCTTTGAGCCTTCACATTTAATCTTCCCTTTCCTATCTAATTCTCCTAGATTCTAAACTTCATTTCAAGAAACGCGCTCGAGTACAGTGGTTTGTCCGATTCTCTGAAGTCCCTCTCTCAAAACAGCATTTGTTGGGCCGAAAGCCTCATAAACAGGAAATATTCTGGTATGACTACCCTGCTTGTAATAACAACATTAGTGCTGAGACCATCATTGGCCCTGTTGAGGTAGGTAGTGCCTTAATCTTGGGTTCTATCTTGAAGCTTACTTTTTGTTTGTGTACTAAACTTCATGACCTCAGAAATATTACTGGTTTTAATTTGCCAATGGAAGGGAATGATTTTTTTTCCTGCCATCTCTGCTTGCCTTTCTGCTTTATCTCAGCACCTATTTAATGAGAGCATATATGTTAGGAGCCTCCTGGAGGTAGTGACATTTGGGTTATGACCTTAGGGATGAACTGAAATTAGCAAATGTGTTAACCAGAGGGAAGTTATATTTAGCTGTGATGGTGGTATTGTGAGGCTGCATATGTCATGTGAAATAAAGACTTGACCTTGAGTAACTGAGTACAAAGAATGCTAGTTGTTACAGACAAATCTGTATTAGAGGATTTTAAAATAAATCAGGATATAATGAGTTACTATTTGTTTGAAAACTAAATACCACTTATTCTTGGAGCAACTTTAGGCTTCCAAAGTAGGATTTGATTGAAATGAAAAATGTGGCATTAGGGTGATTAAGGTGCCTGGTTTAAGAGTTGAGCAGAAAGACTTAGATGTGATGTGACTATGGTAATTTTTCCCTGGGTTAAACAAGTTACTGAGGGAAAAGCAGATGTAGAAGTTGAAGCCACAGGATGGATAGATTTGGCCGGGCAAAGAGAGCAAACCTTTAGCCAGAGCACACGGTGGAAATGAACAGAACTATAAAAACCAAGCTTGGCCAATGAGAGCAATGAGGTGGGCCGAGTTTATACAACATTGAAAAATCAGTTTCAATCATCTTGGTGTAAAAGGGATCTATTATTAACTGTTGAGCATGTTTAAAGAAGTTTTTGTGTAAGATTTTAGTCTAACTAAATGGAATAAATAGAAATGAAAACAGTGTAGTGTATAGGAAAATCTAGAAATAATCAAATAATGAGATGATGTGTATTTAAATAAGGATGATAGTAGGAATTAAGAAACAAAGGTAGAAAACATTTAAAAGAGTGAAATAAAAGGAATAATTTTCTTTATGTTTCATTAACATCTTAAGCTATTAATAAGTGATAATCTTGGCTTAATTTGTCTTCATTTCCCTTTTCATTTATACTTCCTAAATTCAAGATAGTGGCATTAGCGGCAGATGAAATGTTCCCTGGGGATCTGAAACATGAGAAGACACTGTTTGTAAAACTGTCTTGGAATGAAAAGAATTTTAAACCACTGTCTCTAGAACTACTTGCTGAGTTAAAGAAACTACAAGGAGTTAACTCTACATGCCAGAAACCCCTGGAAGCTAAGACTATGACACAAGAAAGTCCTTCTTTGACCACTGCAGAACATGTGGTCAAAGGGATTGAATCAAGTCATTCTTCCTCCAAATCTCGCCAAACTCCCACTCATCCTGTTGCCCCCAATGCAAGGAAAAGGCTGGAGCTTAACGGTAAGTGTGGAATAAATTACAGTGAGCAATACTGGATTGAAGGATACAGTTAAATATTTGAGTGACAAGCTGGGCATCGCTCAGGCCTGTAATCCTAGCTACTCAGTAGGTTGAGATCTGAGGATCAGGGTTTGAAACCAGACCAGAGAGGAAAACCTGTGAGACGCTTTTTCTTTTTCTTTTTTTCTTTTTGCCAGTCCTGGGGCTTGAACTCAGGGCGTGGGTACTGTCCCTGAGCTCCTTTTTGCTTAAGGTTAGTGATCTACCACTGGAGCCACAGTGCCACTTCCAACTTTTTCTGGGCTGGCTTTGAACCACAATCCTCAGATCTCAGCCTCCTGAGTAGCTAGGATTATAGGCTTGAGCCACCAGTGCCCAGCTATGAGACTTGTATCTCCAATGAACTACTCAGAAAAAGCCAGAAGTGGCATTGTGGCTCAAGTGGTAAAGTGCTATCCTTGGGTAAAAAAGAATCTCAGGGATAGCACCCAGGCCTTGAGTTCAAGTACCAGGACCAACAATAACAACAAAGAGAGACAGAGAGAGAGAGATTCATGTGACAGTATTGAGTTAGTATAGCAGTGGGCCAGGTATTGGTTGGATAGGTGGTGAAATATACAGAGAATTAGTTTTATCATTTTAAAGTGGCATTAAAAACATTTGTTAGACTGGAAATATAGCTCAAGTGGTGGGACTCCAGCTGTTAGAAAGCCAGGCAATAGTGTAAGGCCTTGACTTCGAGTGCTAGGACCAACACGAAGAACATTAACATGAATTTGCAAACATTACCATCATCTTCAAATTTGTGCTCATTAAACCATAATACCTGATCCCTCTTCTTCTCCCCATCCTTTGGAAATCATCATTCTCTTTGTTGTAATGAATTTGACTAATCCCTAGTGACTGATTCATTTTACTTACTGTAATGTACTTGAGGTTCTTCTGTGTTAATACCTTGTATTATAATTTTTTTTAATGGTACTAGAGTTTGAACTGATGCTCTACCAATTGAGCTACTCAGCCAGTTTCTTTTTTGTTGGGTATTTTCAAGGTATGGTTCTCACTTTATATTGCCTGGGATTGCCTGGACTTTGACCCTGCTATTTGTATTTCCCTTTGTTGCTGGGATGACAGGCACACACCTCTGTTTTTCATTTTTATTTCTTTTTTTTTTTTTTCCATTTTTAAAGAACTGCAATATTGTTTTACATAGTGGCTGAATCATTTTACATTCTCATTAGCAGTGTACAAGGGTTCCAGTTCCTCTTATGTCCTCATCAATGTTTGTAAATTTTAATTTTTTTAAGTAGTATCTACCCTTATAATATTAATTGGTAGCTCTTTATGGTGGGTTCTTCTCTGTGGGGGGGGGTGGGCGGGGGGACTAGGGTTTGAACTCAGGGCCTCTTTCTCTCATTTGGCTCTTCCACTTGAGGCTGATACTACCACTTGAGCCATGACTCCACTTCTAGATTTTTGTTGGAGATTAGGACTTTCTTGCCTAGGCTGGCATCAATCCACAGTCCTCAGATCTCAACCTCCTGAGCGGTTAGGATTATAGGGAGCCACCAGCACCTGGCTTTTTCTTTTTTAAAGATTAAAATTAGCAACTCTCCCATCCATTTTTTCCCATATCCTCTAGTCTCTGTTAACTATCATTCTGTTGGGTTGGTTTTGGTTGTGGTTGTGGGACTTGAACTCTGGGCCTGGGTGCTGTCCCTCAGCTCTTCAGCTCAAGGTGAGTGCTCTACCACTTGAGCCACAGCACCACTTCCAGTTTTCTGGTGGTTTATTGGAGATAAAGAGTGGACTGGCTTTGAGTCAAGATCCTCAGATCTCAGTTCCCTGAGTAGCTAGAATTACAGGTGTGAGCCACCAGTGCCCAGCTGGTAACTATCATTCTATGCTCTACCTCTATTTTATTTTATTTTATTTTATTTTTTTTGTGTGTGTGTGGTGGCCACACTGGGGATAAGTTTTTGTTTTTTTTTTTTTTATTGTAAAGCTACTATACAGAGGGTTACAGTTACATGAGTGAGGTTATGAGTACACTTCCTCTTGAACATTGTTACCCCCTCCATTGTTTTCCCCCTACCATCCCCTCCCTCCCTCCCTTCCCCGAGGTTCTTTTTTATTATTATTTTTTGATTGTGATTAAATGATTACATAATTTCAAAGTCACAAGTTCATTCTAACTTCCCTGGAGCAAATTGTCTACCACAGTCTGTAATATATAACAGTGTTCACGTGTTATATACCATATTTGTGATCAGCAGCATGAGGATATTTAGTAGTGGTTCAACCAGATGAGCGGGAGTTCTTTGTTTCTTAAGTCCTGTTAGTTTTGTCGTATCACCTAACCTTTTGGATTTAGCATCCACTTATCAGGGAGACCATGTACCGTTTGTCTCTTCGTTCTTGGCTTACCTTGCTCAACATGATTCCTTCTAGCTCCATCCATTTCCCTGCAAATGCCATTATTTTGTCATTTCTAATGGCTGCATAATATTCCATTGTGTATAGATACCATAATTTTTGGATCCATTCATCTGTGGTGGGGCACCTAGGTTGTTTCCATATCCTAGCTATTGCGAACAGTGCTGCAATAAACATGGAGGTGCACGTGTCCTTGTATATTGGTTCCTGTTGTTCAGGGTAGATGCCTAGAAGTGGTATGACTGGGTCGTAAGGGAGGTCAATCTTTAGCTTTCTAAGGACCCTCCAGACTGCTTTCCAAAGTGGTTGTATAAGTGTACATTCCCACCAGCAGTGTAATAGGGTTCCTCTTTCTCCACATCCCCTCCAGCATTTGTCATTGGCTGATTTGTGGATGTGGGACATTCTGACTGGGGTAAGGTGGTATCTCAGGGTTGTCTTTATTTGCATTTCCTTCACCACCAGGCATGATGAACATTTCCTCATGTGTTTCTTTGCCATTTTTATTTCTTCATTTGAGAAGTCCCTCTTTAGTTCCCTTGCCCATTTAGTAATTGGTTTGTTAGGTTTGGGAGGGATTAGTTTCTTGAGTTCCCTGTATATACAGGATGTTAACCCCTTGTCTGATATATTGCTGGTAAATATTTTTTCCCAATTAGTTGGTTGTCTTTCTAGCTTAGTTGCGATAGATTTAGCTGTGCAGAAGCTTTTTATTTTAAGGTAGTCCCATTTGTCGAGTCTCTCTCCAACTTGTTGTGACCCTGGGACTCTGTTCAGGAAGTTCCTTCCTGTGCCTATTAGTTCAAGTGTTTCTCCTACTCTGTCCTGTAGTAGTTTCAGAGATTCAGGTTTAATGTTAAGGTCTTTAATCAATTTTTAGTTGATGTTGGTGCATGGTGATAGGCTGGGGTCCACTTTTAGTTTTCTGCATGTGGCTGCCCAGTTTTCCCAGCACCAGCGGTTGAAGAGGCTGTGTTTCTTCCATTGTATGTCTTTGGCTCCTTTGTCGAATATCAGCTGGCTGTAGGCCTGTGGATTTATATCTGGATCTTCTATTCTGTTCCATTGGTCTTTGGGTCTGTTTTTGTGCCAGTACCATGCTGTCTTTGTGATTATAGCTCTGTAGTAGAGTTTGAAGTTCGGCATGGATAGCCCTCCCATATTGTCTTTATCCCCTAGAATTGTTTTGGCTATTCTAGGTCTTTTGTTGTTCCATATAAATTTTTGGACTGTTTTCTGTATTTCAGTGATGTACGTCATTGGGATTTTAATAGGAATTGCATTGAATTTGTATATTAGTTTTGGAAGTATCACCATCTTTACTATATTAAGTCGGCCTATCCAGGAGCATGGGAGGTCTTTCCATTTCCTAGTGTCTTCTGCAATTTCTTTCTTTAACTTTTTATAGTTCTCATTAAATAGTTCTTTTACATCTTTGGTTAGGTTAATTCCTAAATATTTTATTTTTTGGGAGGTTATTGTGAATGGGGTTGCTCCCTTTATTTCCCTCTCTTCCTGTGCGTTATCAGTGTATAGGAAGGCAACTGATTTTTGTGGCTTTATTTTGTATCCTGCTATTTTGCTGAAGTGACTTATGATTTCTAAAAGTGTGGGGATGGAGTTTTTGGGATCGTGGAGGTATAGTATCATGTCGTCTGCAAAAAGGGATAGTTTCACTTCTTCTTTCCCTATGCGGATCCCTTTAATGTCTTTTTCTTGCCTTATTGCCCTGGCTAAGGGTTCTAGGACTATGTTGAAGAGGAGTGGAGACAGTGGACATCCTTGCCTTGTTCCTGTTTTTAGGAGGATTGGTTGTAGCTTTTCCCCATTAAGTATAATATTGGCTATTGGTCTGTCATAAATGGCTTTTATTGTTTTTAGAAATGTTCCTTCTATTCCTATTTTCTCCAGAGCTTTTAGCATGAATGAATGTTGAATTTTATCAAAGGCCTTTTCTGCATCTGTGGCGATAATCATGTGATTCTTGACCTTGGCTCTGTTGATATGCTGGATTACATTTATTGACTTACGTATGTTAAACCATCCCTGTGTCTCTGGGATGAAGCCTACCTGATCATAGTGTATTATTTTTTTTATGTGTTTCTGGATTCTGTTAGCTAGAATCTTGTTAAGGATCTTTGCATCTGTGTTCATCAAGGAGATTGGCCTGTAATTCTCCTTTTTGGTTGGGTCTTTGCCTGGTTTGGGGATGAGTGTGATATTGGCTTCGTAGAATGAGTTTGGGATAGCTCCCTCCTTCTCTGTTTCTCTGAAGAGCTTGAGGAGTATGGGTATTAGTTCTTATTTAAAGGTCTTATAGAATTCTGCTGTGAATCCATCTGGTCCTGGGCTTTTTTTTGTTGGAAGACTTTTGATAGCTTCCTGTATCTCAAAATTATAGGATATTGGCTTATTTAATTGGTTAACTTCTTCTTTGCTCAGTGTGGGTAACTTGTATTTCTCTAAAAATGCATCCATTTCCGCCAGATTTTCTTCCTTTAGAGAGTATAGCTTTTGAAAGTAGTCTGTTAGAATTGTTTGGATATCTTGGGTACGTGTTGTGA